TAGATCCCNAAAATGAAATTGAACAAGATCATAAGAACTCCTCCCAACCACTCTTGGTATTTTGCAAAAAAACCGGGTGAATCTTTCAATCTTAGACCGAGAGCCCATCAAACTGCCTTTTCACGCTTCTTGAGTGGCCACACTAGATCCCTTACTTTCAACGGGGGCCAAAAAACTTATCCTGAATGTCATTGGTGCTCGACAGACATGGCCACCCCTGCGCATATTCTGACTTGCTTGGGGCTCAAGATGAGATCCTGCGAGACTCCAGTCTTTTTATGGATTTTTTGGAGGTGTTCGGTTTCATTGGAGTCGTCTAGAGCTGTAGGCGATTCCGAGATGGGCAACAACAGCAACAACTAAATGCGATAGAAAACCAATTAAAAAAATGCTGAAAAGAGCTATGATTTCAAAACGTCTCACGACCAAATTCTAAAACAGTATCATTATTACGATTATGTGTGATGCATAAACCAAGTTTTTAATGTTAAATTTTAGTTTTAGAAAACAGTAATAAGGAAGAAAAGCTACTTTTTGATAGCTCTTGATGATCACTTTAGCCTACCTTGCACTGAATTTTTAATTTTGTTAATTGCATTTAAATGTTTATCTATCTTTTCCCTCACAGACAAACCGAAATATTTCATTTTATGTCAGTAGTGCTATTTTAATGACGTAAAAACTTATATTCTTTCATCTAAAAGAAAAGTTGAATTTATGAGAAGTTAAAAAATATGTCAAAGGATGTTATTTTCAATTGCCTTGGAAACAAGCATAGATATGCATGTTTTTTGATCGCTTTGAAAGAAATATTACTCTGTGAATAAGATTTCATTTTCAAATAACTATTTTTTCTTGATTCAACTGCTCCTACTACAAATACTCATATTTTTAAAAATTTCTGTTCAGTGATCCAAAATTTTATCTCACGATTGTTTCCTTGTCTGCATGCATTTTTATCGTTTGAAAAAATATATTTTATTTTCATTTTCAAGCATGACGGGAATGAAACTTTCAAAATATTAATAGTAGATAATAATATTTTGGAAATAGGACTTTATGCTGTAATGAAAAACATATTCGAAATAGAATATTTGTTTGCTTTACCTTTTATTCGTGTATCAATATTACTTAAAAGAGATAGACAGCCTTCAAAAACTGTAAAATCTTTATAGAATCTTCCGTTTTAATTTTAATTTAAAAGTAATTTTAGTTGGTATGTTACAAATACTAGATTAGTAAAGTTTAAGATGGACTAATTTAGTCTTCGCTCGCTGAAGACATTATTTGAAAAAAAAATTTATTTAAATGTGGGTAGAATTTTTCCTTTTTCACCCATTGAAGCAACAACCAATAAGATAGTGATAATTGACATATATTTTAAAAATAAGAACAGAAATACCGTTAAATTCCAATTTGACACACCTTAATTGTTTGGCAAAAATGTAATGGATAAAATGAAAGGGATCGATAAATGGTACAAAGGGTGAAAAAAAAAGCATATGATTGCTGGTGAGTGAGGTATAAGCGTCTCGCTAATGGAATTTTGGGAAAGTGTAGAAGTTTAAAACTTCAGATTTTCAGAAATCCGCATAAATTTGGTCGAAATAAAAAAACTTTCGTGGCAATCCTCAAATTCGATGCACCGTCACATCTATTCAGCTTAAGTTTATTATCAGTTTATTTCTTTTTATTAAATTGAAATGAGAACCTGGAAATTTTCCGAATTTCGTTTGAGCTTTTTTTATTGAGATGATGGGACAAGTAAAAGTTTATTTCTGTTATGTGTTTTGTCGACCTACATGCCAGGCAAAAAGCAGAAATATTGTAAGATTTCTCGGCCGTGTATATTATCCGTGTATATTATCGGCCGTGTATATATCGGTACGTGTATATTATTTAAACAAGAATCGCAAACTAGGTTAAACATCTTAAGCCCTTATTGCTCTACTAATGCATCATCTAGACATTTCAATATTTTCATTCCACGCATCTGCTTATAGGAGCCAATTTTTAGCCTTATTAGGGCCAGATTATAGTTGCTGTGCTGGTGTCAGTCAACAAATACGAGTCATACCAGTTTTCAGTGTCAGTGTGGTGAGAGTGAATGCGCCAGTGTACAGTTGCGGTCAGGGTCTCAAACAAAAAGAATCACCAGTGGTTTAACTAAAACTATTATTTTGTGCAATCATGAAATTGAAAATGCAATTAAAAGCATATTCACTCATTAATTCGTTCTTAAAATACATAAAAAAACAAATTTTTGTTCTTCAAAACAAAAACCCAGCCTCCTGTTCTGAAATAAATTATGATTCACAAGCGACGCTTTTGATTTTGGTGAAAAGCTTGGTTTCTTCATTAGTAATCCTATTTTTCTAGAGTCTCTGAATCTTATTCTTAAAAGTTCTGACACTAGACAATACAATTTTGTTTGAACTTTTCGACTACTTTCTATTGTTTTTAAGCACCAACGATGATATCCAACTGATATGAATTCAAACCAGTCTTAGGACATGGACTTACTTAAAGAACTTGATTTACACATATGTTTGAAAAGGCATTGGATATAAAGAATGTATTAAACTAGAGGAATTATTCAGAAATATTTACTCAAGTTTATATGAGCCAGTTCTTTAACTACTTTCCTATTTTTCGACACATTTGTTATTTTAACTCTCAATATTTAATTCTTTCTCGATAGTTGACATTTAATTTAAGAAATGGTAAAAGGAACTATCACAAACTTTCAGTTTTGTCAGAAGTTTAATTTTTATTTTTATTTTTCCAGAAATAAAGTATATCAAAGATTAAAGGAAAATATGCTCCCTTCCATCGGAATAACATCAAGCATTCTGTTCTGCTCTGTTCAAGCTTCATGAATGTACATTCACTTTTAAAGTGATAAAATATCTATTAATCAGAGATAAAATGGCTACATTATATATAATAGCTAGTCATTATATATAACGGTACAGTATACGGTAATAGTCATTGAGGATAACTGTTTAGCGATTTGCATGCTAAAATATGCGTAACATATTTCCTAGCATTTAAAACGAAATTATTATCTTATTAAATTCTTTTTCATTAAATAAAAATCATTATTATAATCTGATATCTTTTTATACCACAACCTTGAATTGAGAGCAGAATAAAATCTATTTTTAGAGATTACCTCTACATCTGCCCAACACATTAGTGTAGAATTTAAAAACCGTTTTATGGTTGCTGATTTTTTTATCATTAAAATTCATTATTACTTCTCACGCATTCTTTCCCGCCTATACATTTGTATGTGTAAGGAGAAGAAATAGAATCTTGGCATTAAATTCAATCAGTTTATAGCCAATACATGGATTCCTTAATTTTCCTTTCCGAAAACTAGACTTTCGCACATATGAGACACACGCATTTTTGATTTTTTGGTGGAAGGAGGTGTTCTGTGAGGCTTAGCCCTGCAGCCACACTATCCGGGACATTTTCCAAATTAATAATTTGAAAATGTATATTTACATTAAAAATTGAAATTAATATTCATTTTAAAGCTCCACATACATTTCAAAAATAAAGAAATTTTATTTATTGCAATTTGATTCTTTATTAAGCAGTTTATGATTTTCGTTAAATAATTGCTTTCCTACGTCACTCCTGAGTACAATTTGAACATTGGAAATACATCAATCAAATGTTTCTTAAAATTATGGTAACTACATCAATCAGCATTTTTAACTCATTTTAATTCATCGAACCTCTTCAGCAAATAGTAATTCATTCAATCAACAAACCTTTTCATAGCAAAAATTTTATTTTTCAACTAATGAGTAATACATGAACTACTTTAATCAACAAAATTTCCTAGATAGTGACTATTCTCAATCATTGACTGGTTATTTATCGAAGATTTGTATCAATCTCTTGACCCTTTCTCTCTTTCTTTGTATTGCACTACACTACAAACCATGAAAATAAAAGTTTTTTTTTATTTCCTATGAGTTGCACAATCAGTCTTCCCGATGAGCAGACTTAGTGCGTTCTCCAGAAGTGGTATCCACTCTTTCAGAACCAACACAATGGGTGAGATACCGTTGGTCATGTTAATTTGGACGTCTAGTTTCTGCTACACTAGATGGCAGCACCGAGATTCTATTTTGGATGCTAAAGTGCACTAGAAATTTAATTTTGCCGGAAATGCCAATAACCAATAAGGCACTTCAGGGATCTTTTACAGGCCACATAATCATACGCTGACTTGGGCTCAGAAGAGTCGATGACAAACCAACTGCGCCACCCAGCCACGTGACAATAAAAGAAGTGACTATAAAAGAAGTGATGCATTGCTAGCATTCTGTTATATTTTATTAATTAGTTAAATATACCCTAGCTTTTAATTTTTATTGAATAATATCAAAATGTACAGAGCGATCCAATGTATTGATCTACTCTGCTGATATCAATGTTTTATTTCCCCATACATACCTGTCATCGAAAGTTTCAGTATGAAACTGGATTAGTATCAATTTATACTATACTTGAAAGCATGCCAGTGTATAAAACTCTAGTTTCAGTACGATAGTGGGTCCGATGCAACACCGTTGGTAGTATTTACGAGTTCCGGAATATTTTTGGAGTTTGTATTGTGCTAGATACAGCATCGTAGTTGGACCAGTATGATAAAGGCTTATGAAACCATGCTTTCAGTATAATACTGATTCTAGAAAAACCCACCCCAGTATATAACCACTAGTTCAGATATAATTACGATAATTATCAGAGGATTTGGTATTGTACAAGACACGTTTATGAAACATAGCGTCTTGTACAATACCAAATCCTCTACAATGCAGCATGATGGGGAAAACGGTGGGATTTCAGATTTAGGATGTTACCAGTACCTGTGTTTCATGGACCAGTATATGTTTTATACCGTTAAGATATTCTAGGAAAAGACAATTCTAAATTTCAGATCTAAAAAATATATTAATTCATTTACTTGATTTTATTTTTCTTTTGTAAGAAGTGCAACAAAATAAACAATATTTAAACTTGACAATGGTACATTTTGTTAATTCTTCTTATGTCAGATTTTGCCAGCTTCGTTTTAGTACTGGCACTCTTAAGTACAATGCCTTCTTGTAAAGGTACAATGGTTTTTTCGCCATTGTTAGACCATGCCGTGCTCTCATAAACCATGATGGACTTATAATCAAATTTATCATACAAAATTCCCCAAGTTGGTGTCACTTTTATAAAGTTGCTTTTATCTCCTGTAAAAAAATATTAAAATATATTTAACAAGAAGAATTAACTGTCTTTATTTATTATTTATGAGCCAAATGAAAACTGAAGGGCAAAATTTTTTTCTACGTTATTCTGAACTATTTGGATGTTGATTGTCAGAAATTTAAGGAGTAAGCATAAGATATACCGACGTTTATACAAGAATCACTTCTGATTAAAAGGGGGGCTTTTAATAAATAAATTATTGTTCGTTTATTAACACACACTAGAAGGATATTGCCCAAAAGCAGTCAGTAAAAAATGACTGCATTGTGAAAGTATAATTAATGTATAAAGAAATTTGTTTAAAATTAATTTTTAATATTTTTGATATTATTTTCGGTTGCATAACAAGTTATTAGTAAATATTAACAATAAAAAAATTATATGTTGTACAAAAAGCCACAAAATTCTAAGAAATTGTGTTATTGTATTTCTAATTGAAATTAAAAACTTCCTTGGGCAATCAAGTGTTAAGTAGACAGTTTATATTTACGTAAGAAATAATATTTTGGGTAATGATGTTTTCAAGTCACAACAGCACTCTTTAATAGAAGTTTTCAATACTATGCAGTTAAGTTATTTTGAAAACCGGAGTAATTATTCTCAATCTCTAAAAAAGCTTGAGTGGCAAAGAGTAGTTATGCGGGGCGATGGTTTTTGACTATATCAAACTTTATCTACCAAAGGGTACCTCAAGATAAAACGAAGAAAGGTCAAGACAAAATCAAGTTAGCATGTCTAATATACTAGTGTAAGCTCATGTAAATAGTTTTTAATGGTACCCAAAAGTGAAGCAGTACAATTATTATTTTCAAAGCTCTTTAAATCACTTTTAATCTCTACACTCACGCTCTTTAAATCGCTACGTTTTTGAAATGGTTTTTATAAAAACTTGCATAACATAAAATATCATCGTAAGAATATATTTTAAATACTGTTGCTGCACACTAAGAAGAAAATATTGCCAAAAGTATCGTAATATGGTAACATTTAGAGAAATTTTAGCTATATAAAAACTCAAAAAAGCTCAAAATTATTTACGGGAGCACTTTGTCAATGTGTTGGTAAAAGTAACATTAAAATACGGTTTTATAAAATGTGATAAAATTTAATAAATATATTAAAATTTGGTAATTTTATCATGATACTTTACGTCATGGTAAAAATACCATTCATTCAGTTAAATTTACTTTTCAGTTTTGTAATTTTTACTGGATGTGTGACAATAAGAGCAATAATTTTGAAAATAAGGATTACCGACAAGCCGTTACTATATAAACGATACCAATTGAATAGTATAAATACCATACGTTTTAGAGTTATGGTTTTATTTAGCAGAAATATCACTACAAGACAATAAATTATTTGCCAGAATTTTTCTTCCCCTTGTATTAAAATAAAAATCGTTATCTTTTCTGATCTATCAATACATCTTCCAGTTCAAATCCGTATACAATTTTCAACAAAAGTTTGAAATAAATAAATTAAAAGGACATGTGAGTAAAGGGTACCTGTTGGATTAATATTGAATGAATTATGGGGTACAAAGGGGTACATATAGGATGGGTTATAGGGTACAAAGGGGCATATATAGGGTCAATTGTAATTTGAAAAGTCTTACCCTCATCAACATTCTCTAAGTGAATCTCAACGTAGTCATCTCTGTCATTCCTTTGGTGTTCGTGAAAGAATCCAATTGCATGCAGCAGCTCATGCAATATAGTTCCAATGTAATGGCATCCATCTGCGAGTGATACGGGCTGCGGTTGTCTATAAAAAGTATGTCTTCCAACAAGAGAGTTACATCTGAATTGAAAAAAAAAATAAAGATGCAGAAAACCACAAATATTTAAAGGACTATGAGGCTTCACATTCGGCTATAAATTAAAAAAGAGTATGGGTAATTTTTTTTAATAGTTTATTTGAGGGTATTTTAAAAATTTAGACTAATATAAAAAAAATTACCATTGGCAACATAGAAGTTCTTGTAAACCATAGTTTTAATAAGTAAATAAGTAAATTGTTTTCCTACAAACTTTTCACTTGAAGGGTTTTAATTTGTTTCAGGATTAAGGTTTAGCGGGAGGATTGTAAGGGTTTTTCCATTGGGCAAGTAATAATCAGCTGAAATGGGATAAGCAAATTTAATTTAAAAAAACATATTGCTTGATTCATTAAGATGAAATAATTTTAACACAATTTTTATTCGTTAATGGAACATATAAGATTTTAATAGTTCGAATATAAAAAAAACCTAATTCAACACAGATAAAATCAATTTCTGTCTGTCTTGAATTTGGTTTTTTACATTTTAAAAAATTTCATATTAATGTAACTGTTAACATCTAACCTTTGTCTTTCACTTTCTTTCACTCTCTCTCCGTCTCTCTTTATCTCTTTTACTTTTGACATAAACTGGAGCGAGAACTTATAAAAATATCGTAAATTTCAAAATATTATATTCAGTATCCTGTTACTATTGTATGATGATTGTTTTCCTTTTTTGTTTTGTTTTGCCTGTCTATTTTTCTTTAAAATGACCAATAAAGTCAAGCTTAGTAGACAGGATATTCTTGTTTAAGACGGAGCTGACCCAAGCTAATGAAACAAGAATGCATCAATACTTCAGAAACGGCTGATTAGAGCATTGAAATAAAATGCTTAGCATTTCAAAGACATAAAACAAAAATAAAGTTTGTCACATGTCTGTCAAACCTAATTTTTTTAAATGTGTAAAAAAGTTTTTTTTTTTGTTAATTTGCAGCGTCTTTTTATTAGCAATTTCTTGCGTAAGGCGTTACTATAGCCTAACTTGTGAATTGTGCTTAATTTCAATTAAAATAAGTGATGACTTATCGTGGAATACATAAAGAGGAGATAATTGTGACGCAATTTTGGTAACATCTGATCTTTGCCTCTCACTCTTTCTTACTTTTTCCACCTCGAACTCTCTATCTTTTTTTTCTGATGTAGACTCGAGCTCGAGTTTATTAACTCCTTAACGATCGGTTAATTTTCAAGAAAACGATCATAGAAGTGCCTATTTCCTTTTATCCCTGAAAATTTGATTAGTGCTGACAACTAGTTTAAAATAAACTAACTATTCATAATTACCTTAAATATCCTAGTACTGCCATCTGGTGTGTAAAATGAGAAATAAAATGTTTTCCGGGCAACAGAAATGAATTAGTTAATTACTACAGAACACTTCAGCCCGGAAATATCACGGGAGCGAGAAATAGAGGGCGAAACCTCACCCCGTTATTTTCACGGGAGCGAGAAGGAAGAGGTTAAGAAAAGATATCTAGAGCCTACAACAGTAGAAAAATAGTCATTATCTAATGCAAATAATTTAGAAAAAAGTATCGAAGAAATCTCATGAAACTGCATTAATTTTGAAACAAATTAGAGCTTAAAAGCAAAAAAAAAAAAAAAAAAAAAAAAAAAAAAAAAAAAAAAAAAAAAAAAAANAAAAAAAAAAAAAAAAAAAAAGAAAAAAAAAAAAGAGGGAAACCCTAGCAAACCCTAGGCAGCGGTGGTAGCTACACTAACTTTTTGCAATGCAGAGAAAAGTTTACGAGTACTTTTTATATAAAATATTCCAAAAAGAACTTTCTTAATATAGATTTTTAATTTTTTATCAGAAAAGGAGACCATCAAGTTAAAACATTGGAATCGCTAAACAATAAATAAACTAAGGAAAAAAAAACGAAATCAGTACATCACAATTGTGGAAGGCGGTTGAATATTCCATCATGAATTGTTTGATTACAAATAACTCTAATTAGTGTGTTTCAACTTAATATTGTTTTTTCTGCAATAAAAAATGTGGGTTTTTTTTCTTTGTGATTTTTAAGACTTTGATAAGTTTTATTACTCGAACTATTATTATTGCATAAATCTTAAAAGTGCCCTCTAATGATAAACTTTCATGCTTCATTTTGACTAGATTTCAAATAATCTATCTTTATGGAGATGAAACATCAAGTGTACTTTTTAAAATAATGACATCGCTTACTTAAATACCGTGGTACTTGAGGTACTGCAATCATGTAAACTTAAATTCGAATGAACTTTTCAAACTTCATTGAAGTTGTTTGCAAAAACAATTTAGATGTCAATAAATTATTAAAAATTCTGAAAGTTGAATTTTTTGTCATAATGCATACACCATGTTAAAAAAAAACATAAAAAATTCCAGAAAAAAAATTTTTTTTTAGAAATATGGCAAAGAAATATAAAAATTTTAAAAATATATCAGATATACTTACCCAGTTCCATTATGGATATAAAGGAAATGATCTTCATCAGTTCTCGGAACAAACCTTATGCAGGTTTTTCTACGATAATAAGCGATAGCGTCATTTATGAGGCTCCTCTTTACGTCTACAAATGTAAAATAACATTAAAAAATGAATAAATAAAATATATATAACTAAAAATTACATATATTTTATTACTTCAAATATTAATACTTAGAAAGTAATTTTATTTTTGTTAAATCCAAAGTAAAACACTTAGGCTGTATCACTTTTGAAAGAAGTGGTTAAAATTTCGGTAGCAATCGAAGTTCATTGTGAAATTAACTTCACACGAACAATAAAATTATGGCTGCGGTCAATTAGACCGGAAATTCAATTTGAATTATTTTTCTTCTTCGTACTTCTTTTTAAAAAATTTTGACATCTTTATACATTTCTAAATGCCTGCAAAAAATAGGTGATTAAAAATTTTATTACTTTCAAAGAATGAATTGTTTTACAAACACCAATAAAAAATTTCAATTGAAACTAAAGACTTTATTGATGGGGTTATATTTTAATTTGTAATGAGCCCTATACTTTCATCAAAAATACTTGGATTAAAAATCTAGAAAAGAATTTAGCCTTAATAAAGCTATCTATGAAATTGTAACGGAAGCTTAAAGGTTCAGAATCCTTCGGTTTTTAGAAAGTAAGATGCCCATTTTGTATACAACTGTATGGCTCATTTTGCATGCAACTAAAAAACCGCATGCGCCGATGTTATTAAACTCATATGTGTATAGAGATAAGTGTTAAGTTATATTTCTTTTTACTGCGCAAAAACTATATAACTTAGAAACTGAATTGGTGTACAAAAATGTACAAGAAATACACTGGAACTAAAAAAATTAACATTTAAGAATTATTAACAAGGCTTAACTTGTATTAATGAGCGCTAAATGGTTCAAAACCCTTCCTGTTTTCTGAAAGCAATAAGCTTATTTTGCATAAAGCAGTGTAACAAATAAACTAAAAAACAGCAAGGGTCGATGCCATCGTAATTTTAAGTGTTCAACTTATAATTATATTTCATTTTACTGCGCAAAAACTGTACGATTTAGAAACTTGACACTGAATTGGCGTGCAAAATTGTACAAGAAGTACGACGGAATAAAAAAAAATTCTACATTTAAGAATTATTAACACGCTTAGAATGTAATAAAATTAATGCGGGATGCTCTACAGCTGCAGAGATGCAACTACAGATATGAAATTTGATGTGCTGAGTACATGCATCTTAATATTAATTAAATTGAAATTTTTGAAATTAGAAACGACTCAAGAGCAAACTGAAACCCGTTTCAAATTTACATTGTTATACGAAATAATAATAATAATAATAATATGATTAAGTGATCATTATACTCTATTTTCAAGCAAAATTACTGCTTATTCATTAAATTTTATTGTGGCACACATTCTGCATTCGTAAGTTCAATTCTCTTTCAAGTACAATGGATTAATTTTCAAATCCAAGTAATTGATCATTTGGTTGCGATTAATATAATAAAGAAATGTTCCTTTTTTAATAATGTCAAACTGTAAGGAAAAAATATACGAAGATAAAGGAAAAGTAAACACAGGGGTTGGTGATCGAAGCGAGAAGCGGTGGGAGCCTCATAGAAATGCAAAAGGTTAAACTAGAAATCTTACTTTTGCAGTTTTACAGTTTGAATCAAATAAAACTTTGACTAATTTTAAATACTATTATAAATACTTTTTGTACGTTTATCGAAAACTTACACACTTCGAATTTTTGCACAAAATATTGAGTTGACTGGTATTTAAGTTCAAATATTACGAACATATTCATTACATTTATAAACTAAGTATTGGAATAAATAATTATAAAAATCGTCTTATCTATCTAAAGTAAGAAATGTTGAGTTTGAATGTTTGTGTGTCTCTATTATAACAACTGAATCGCTTATGTTAACTAGCATCTTGTAGTTATGACGGCGGATGAAAGAGACTATTTTAGATCATTAATAAAATAATCAATCAAAAATTTCAATTAGATCGTTCAAGAGAGACACGTTTAATTCTTTTATCAGCTGCCGTAGTTTTCATGCAAAGCATCCATGAATTAAAAGTGGACTAAGCAACTAAATACATTTTTTTTAAGTTGTCCAAGACCTCGCGTTTATTTTGCTTATATGTATTCGTTTTGAGCAAGTTTCTATAAAAATGAATAATTGAGAAAAATGAATAAAAATGGATAAATGAATAATTTTACTGAGGGATGAGATCTGTGTAATAAGAATGGTATTCACTCAAACCTGTAAAAATAGGACAAGATGATGTAATTTTTTACTGTGTTGATTTACACTGATAGACTCATTGTTATAAGTAATGCGAAGAATGTAAAATTTAGTAAACTAATAAAACTTTTATTAAATTCAACTAAAAAAATACCATTAATGTCTGTGTGTATATAATAAGGTATTACACCATTGGGCCACCTGTAACTTTGGGGTCGTATACCATTTCTCTCATCCTCCTAAAAAAGTAGAGANTGTGCGTTAAAGTAAAACAGTTGTTTAATCAGGCAAGAATGCTTACTCTTTTAAATGGGTTTTATAAAACGACGCAGCTTCTGTATCAAAACAACTTCTTTCTCGTTGAATTGCTAACTTAAACTTTAAAATTTTAAACTTTGCCATGGAGTCTATTTCTTTTTCGCCGGAAAAATTCTTAGGAGTCACATACTTTCAGATAATAAAAAAAAACTTTAAAGGTAATCAGTTATGTCAAAATTTTGAACTTTTATTTTTAGGTGAGAACTAAGAAAAAATCTACTTTTTAAAAAGTTTTAACTTTAAAAAGAAATGGAATAATTTTATTAAACTCTACTTACGAGCATTTCTTTAACTCCAAGAATGTCTCCATCAAATAAATCAGGGCGGCAATTGCAGCTGAAAAAAATGAATTAAACAATTTTCATTGAGAATTATTTTTATACTTCTCATTGCATAATTTCTTAAAAAAATAATAATTTTTTTCTTAAAAAATATCAATTTTATGCTTAACTGCTTTTAGCTGTTATTAACTATATAGCTATGATAACTATTTGCATGCTAACTGTATTTTTATTATCGATTTTCGCCTTACAAATTTGTTTATAAATATTCGAGAAATAGATATAGAGCAAATTCATATAATTTCTTAAATAGCTACATACGAATAGATTGGAGTTTAAAGCTTTTAGTCAATTTATTATTTATGATAGACATTCCAGCTTTACAGTATTCAATAAATTGTTTCAAATTTTGTTTGTGCTGTATTTTTAAGATGCATAAAAAATTTATGCATTAAAATTCATAAAAAAAATTTATATTAAAACATAACTTACTTTTTTCTTCCTTTTCAGACAATAGAATGAAACCATCGTCAAGGTCTTCTGAAAACGGAAGAGCAAAAGAAGAGGTCAATAAAACCAGAAAGTAAAAGACTTGCATTATGAGAGTTTTTTATGCAACCTAGCAATTATGCTAATTCTGAAAAGTTCCTATTTATATACCTGTTTTGATCGCTATAGCTATTGAACTTCGGAAATAAACATCTGTGTTCAGGAACTCAAAATCGCAAGCTTTTTGTTTTCCTTAAATATATTATAGATACTTTTTAAATGACTCAGAATAGGCATGATTATCACCCTCAAAGAAGCCGACTTCTCGGTCTAAATGATTAGTATTATTTGCATTTTTAAGTAATCTTTGATCGAAAAAAAAAATTTATTTGCATCGCATAGTTTTGAATATTCGACAAAATATCTTTGCCCATTTCTTTTCTCGCAGATTTAGAACAACTATATTCTATATGGTATGGAAAATTAAAAATAAAAAATTTTTTAAGTCACTAGTCATCCCATTGAGTTAGATTAATTTAGGGCATAAATTTGATGCCTTATATTTGACGCAATTACAGCGCATAATCCGCCTACATTATAAGAGCTTTACATTTCTAAAGTACGCACACAAAATTTTCGAAACATATCGGGAGATCAAACACCAGCTCTTCCCAATTCCATTGCTTTAACTACTAAGCCATTGCGACTTCAGTGTTGCGAATTTAATCATTTTTATTAACTTAATTATTATTAATTTTATTAATATTAATTTTTTTTATTTATGTTATTAATAGGATTTCGATCATCGCTAAAATTACATTGTTATTGCTTATAATAATGTTTTAAAATCAGTATTGAATAAACTGTTAGAGATTAAGCTTGGAAATGGGAATCTTATTTTTTCTAATTAATTTGCACCAGACCAACACATCAAACTTATTGCCTCAGCAGAAATTTTATGTCAATATTTTGTCCGATCAGAACAATTTTTAAAGTCATTTAAAAATTTTTACGTCGCTCTAATGAAAGTAATTTTAAATAAGCCAATTTCTTATATCATTTTGAAGGAATTAATTTAATACAAAAAATAGCAAAATTTGAAAAAAACTCTTCACGAACTTTGAAAGCATTTCAACAAGAGTAAAAGCTTTACGGGATTTTAGTAATNTATACTTCCATCATAACTGGACCTAATTAAAAATGGACCCCTGGATTATTTGCTGCCACGGCAAAGAACGGATAGTGACAGGTGGTAGCTAGAGAAATCATTAAACCTGACTGAATTATTGACCAACTGAATTATTGACCTCCTATATCACAAATTCAGTCTTCTGACCACAAATTCATTGTGGTCAGACTGAGTAATGACGGATAATTTATAAGATGTTAGCTATTAACACTTGCTTATTTGAAACAACATGATTCGTGATATCGAGAATGCTGGAACTGGAAAGATGAGCAATGTGAACAAATTGTTTTTTCCCCGAAGAATAAAACTAGATTTAGTCAAATTATCGATTTTGAAAACAATTCATCTGAAGCTGGCAAAGAACAAGAGGCAAGCCTTCCAGCTTCAATGGAAATAACACTTATTGAGGTAGTGGTGTTTTTATTTGGGGTAGTGTTATAATTGATGTGCATACTCATAAGTGAATCAGTCACTTCCAGTTATTGCTTCACATTGTTGTACCAAAGTTTTTATTCCTCATCATGCTTCGTTTTTAAAGAAACTATGGAACCGCAGTTTTTCTTTGCGTATGACAATGATTCTCCTCATCAAGCAGAATAGTCAATCAGCTGTTAGAAATAGTAGACATTCAACTAATTATAATTTGCACGAAATTTTAGTTTCACCAGAGAGTTTCACAGGTCTAAATCCAAAATTTTTTTAATTTTTTTAAATTTTTTTTTCATTTCCAATGGCAAGGCAAAAATAAAAATAAATGAACAGGAGCAGAAGTAAAGATGACACAACATTAAATTGACCGAAGTCATTGCCTCCAGATAAAATGCCGAAGTTGTAGACCACTTTACCGTTACCGGAACGTTGCCCAGGGTGCACCACGAGGCGGTAGGCCTACGTTGCACCCCTTAAATCCAACAAACATATGTGAAACTCTCTGCAGCACGTCAACATGATTCTGAACTGTAATTGACAAGAATAGAGAGCCATTATTTTACAGCTCTTTGACAACCGTATACTGATCACGGACGACGTAAGGACGATGACATCACAAAATAAAAGAATATAGAAATTAGTATAAAATGATTTAAAAAGCATTTCTTTTTAATATTCCTCATTTTTCTGTCACTTTAGAAAATCATATTGACTGGGTAATTGCAACTTTATATATTCGTAAATTGGACTTAAAAAAGTACCATTAAGTAACATCATATCTATCCATTATATTTTCAGCAATAATTGGAGTTCATACCTTTACTATAATCTATTATTACTTTAATCTATTTACATGATCATATCTCGAATCTAAATTAAAATCACTTTTTTATAGACATACTTAAGAAATTTTTAAAGAGAATTTATTGAATTTTTTTTTTTTTACATGCATCTCCGTTTGTTGATATCTCGAAAATTCTGGAAGCATTTATAAGTCATCAGGATTAAAGAATTAGCTCGCAGCTTGCATACAGAGATAAGCTTAAAATACTTAAGTAGAAGTTAAGAAAATAAAAGTGCTCAATTGAGTAATGGGGCAAATAAATAAAGGTAGAAGGAGTGAATGAGTGGTGATGAACAACATCCCAGACAGATATTTTAAATCCTACAACAGAGTCAGGGGTGATCTTATGCATCTTTATGCGTCACTTGTCATAATGATGTTTTGGTCTTCTTTGCAATTATGCTCGAAGCTGATTTTTTCAGAAGTTCATTTTTTTGGGTGAATTATTTTTTGCTAAGCAACATTCGATTTCTCTGTATCATTGTACATAAAAGTTATTGTGATATTATTTCTACTGATTTCAAAAATCTATTGCACAAAATTACATAAAAAAACCATAAATATCAATATCAACATCATTTATGTATGATAAAATACTTCATTGACAACCTAAGGTATTTAATTTATACTTAAAATAGAAGTTACTCATAAACCTAAGGTTGGTGAAAACTATCCTAGGATCAGAAATAAATTTTCTATGACAATTGACAACTTTCAATAAGTTGTAAAATAAAACATCTCAGGTAGAAATATGTGATTATTTTGTGAAAAAATTTCCACCATTGCAAATATAGCTCGATTTCTGTCAAAGTCTCAGAGAAACTTTTGTATTTCTATAATGACCGTAGTAACAGAGTTGGTAAATAAATTAATATGATTATTGCTCAAGTCTGGCAGTATTGGTCTTTATATAATACAAGAATTTTAATTTATGTTTTCAAAGTAATCCGAAAATAGAAAGTTTATCTTTGGTAACACGAAATTTCTTATGGTTGTTTTATTTAGCAGAATTTATCTTGCTTTTAAGAGCCTAATGGTACGCAACCTATGGACTTGGTTGTCAAAAGTTTGCCATCTGGAATGAAACAAAGGATTAGGATCGTGATTTACTAAATCTTCTGGATACTGCTGCAAAGATACTGCATTTAAAATCTATTTCCAACAGATATGGCTAGGTGAAAGGAATCTATCTATCTATAAATAATTTTTTTTTCTAAAGTTATGGATGAAATAAAATAATAATAAAAAAAAATCTATAAACTTTTAATTCAATAAATAAATATACTCTATAGAAATTAATATACTCTATAAAAATTATGCTTAATAAATCGATTAGAAATACAAACAGACAGCCGATTACGTTTGTAGGTGATCCAATCGAACCTTCATTGCTGGGTGGCCCTTCTATAGTATAAAGCTAAGCATTACTTCGCCTCGGATAGCATCCCTCAACTGAATCAGGTACCTGTCTATAAATATAATCGGAATATTATTATACTGTAGAAGCTTACGCCGAGATTTACAGTTTTTTAAAATAAGCATATCATTATTATTGCAAATAAACTTAATGCAATTAATTTGAAATCAAATAAAAATTCTATAAATTCCATTAAATATATTAGAATTCCAAACAAAAAGCTATTTGCTGACTGGAAGTAAAAAAAAATTTATTTTTTTATCAAAAACATCAATATGAGCGTTAAAAGCAATACGAAGTGTTATAACTCATCAGCATCCAATAACACTACATACCTTTGAACTGAGCTCTATTGGACTTCGTTATAGTAAACAACAAGAATTTTAGGCCAAGTGCTATTGGCTGGATTCTACACTGGAAAATCTCAAAAATTTAAATTAAAAAAACAAAACAATAATTAAAATTAAATCCAATTTTGTCCAGATCAACGTACATAAACATCACCACATCAACAGCCATATGGGCCACATCACCACATGACAGATGTATGCGTCAGAAATGAATGCAAGATCCGGTTAAGGTTTAGGCATTTATGAGCAGTGTATTTCTCAAAAAGTATGTTTAAATTTAAAATTGGACCAACAAGTGATTGAAGGAATTAGTTCGGGAAATTATTACAGCTTCAAAATTTAATAATTTAAACGTTTAGATTTGAGATTTTCAATTTAGGTTAAGCTTTAAAATTTTCTATTTTCAGCGTAAAGCTGGATTAATTATTACTAATTCTTCCGAATCTGATTACTTGAGCAATAATAATAGGTCTGACACTAATGCATCTGAAATAATTCTGTTGATTAAGTACCTCAAATTTGAAATCTTTATTTTTAACATAAGCAAAGATTTTGGTTCTTTGCCCATTACTATATGTAAATCTGAAACGTTCACTGCAATATCTTCATCCTCGTTTCAGCAAGATTTAAACAGTTTGGATAGATTGAATGACGTAAAAAAAGAAATTCAGAAAAATTAATGCAAAAAATATCATCGATGTATTTTGACCAATGACCAGAGCACGATCAATCTCCGATCTAGTGTCTCCAGAAGTATCGATTTGTTATGGGAACTTAGAGAACTTCGTGAACCTCTACAGATTTAGCGTGCACCAGGCACCATATTGCACATAAGGAGTCTCCGGCCGGTGATATCAAACTCACGACCTTTTGGAAATGGGCCCAACCCTATACTTGCCAGGCTATCCCAATCTCTGAACAACATTTAAGAAAAATCACTACTGTGAAATGTGCGGCTGAAAATATCCAAACCTCTTTGATTGCTACAAGAAACAATGGTGAGATGAGCTGCAATAAATGGAAACTTCTTCATTGGTTATCAATTTTTTTATTTTTCATTCCACTCTCCTTGCAAGTGATTAATCCGATTTCAGTTTTGTGTTTTTTTTACTCACTCAAATGTTTATCTGAGTCCACTAATATACTTTTTTACAACAACTTTGAATTGGATTCTGAAAAATATGTTTTTAATGGGCAGTTACGATTACGGAATACTGTGTATGTGCATAAATTCTATGTACATTAAATATTGTTCTAAATTGACTCTTATATGCTCTGAAAAAGTACGGATTGGTCAGATTAATCATTTTATTTTTATTTGGAAACTTAGTTGAAAGATCAATTATGTCTTCATCTTAGCCTAAAATATCATTAATTTATCAAATCTCAAACTTTAATATTTTTCCCGATATAATATTCTTATACGAAAAAGACAGTTCTCGAATAAGTATATTACAGTAATTGATTTATTAGTGGCAAACATTATATCAACTATTTAACAAACATGCAGATTGTGTCAAATTTCAATTATACCTTAGTACTATTTCAGTTTAATCTCTTGACTTGAGTTATTAGATTTTTTAATTTTAATTTAGCCTTTCGACAATAATATTATCCATGCACTTATTAATCGAAATATACTTCATTTCAGTATATAAAGAATACGGTGAATAACTTATAGAGCATTTTAAAATATATTTTCAAATTATACTTTAAATTTAAATGTATTTATTTAATATTGTAAATACGTCTCGGGAGTTTGCATTAATAGTGTGTGATTAAAAGTTTGAAAAAATTAAAAAAACTCTTGCAAAGAAATTTTTTTTGCTGTGTTTTGTGAGTTGTCATATTTTCTAACTCATAAACTATTCAATTTAGCTTATTACGTTGAAAATGTGTGCAAAATAGTTAGGGGCTTTTATATCCTGTACATAAAAAATAAGTCTAGACATGTCTAGAAAATTTTGCAGCTTATTTCAACATGAGCGCACAGCTAAATATGGATAATTAATTAATAAATGAACCTGTTTAAACGACCATTTAAGTAAAAAAAATCGTATGCCGTGCACTTGAATGAAAAAATATCTATAAAATAAGAATTAAAATAAAGGTTATTTTGCATTCTAATTTTTTGTTGCTTTTTTAAAGTGATTAATCAATTATATATTCATGGTAAACATTATAATAACACCACGAGACATGTTTTAATATAAAGCGTGCTTTGCATGCGAACAAACGAATTAAAAGGGTGCCATTTTCTTGTCTTTGTAACTTATCCAAAAGAAGAGTATAGCTTAGAAATTTGGGGGTATTAGCTTGTAATTGCAGCTTTGAAAGCGTGGATCACATTGGAAGAAATTTTTTTGCCAATTTTACTGATGCAAGAGTATATATTGTATAATTGGTGTATTAATTGGAATTAACATGAAGAAAAATCATGAAGAAGAATTAAAGGACCAATAGGATAAAGGATTCCGTGTTAATATGAAGAACATAAGTGAGAAATTATAGCGTAATTAAGATGAAATATATATTATTTATAAACAGTATAACAGTATTTAAAATTTAAAATATAAGTATTCACTTTATGAATCTGATAATAAATTAAAAATAAAAGTAAAATAAAATTAATTATATTTTAATCAAATATATATATTTTTTAATTTAGCAAAATGAAAAGCGATCTTGAAATAGAACTGCTCACTTATTCTAGGGATGAATCAAACTCAAGTAATTTTGTGACAGTCATTCATGCCTTGCAAAATGACATATGTACTACTATCACTATGGAAAGAAAGATTAAAAAATATTTTCTTAAGATTTTACACGATCAAAAATAAAGCATTATATAAATTTGAAAAAAAAAACATAACGAATTCCACAGTTTTATTTATTTTCTTTCTAAAACTTATGTTAAATATAGCATATGGTAAGCTGAATGTAGATGTATTTATTCATACTAAAACATCATCCGAAACGTGACAGCGTTATAAAAAATATGCTATTGTGATCTTTGCTTTCATTTAATCAGCACAAAGGTATGATGAAAAATAGCGATTTTCATCGGAAAACTGCATAGCACAGATTTGAAAAAGAACAACCAATTTAACTTTTTAGAAAGAAACACAATATTAAAAATTTCCCATGCAATTAAATAAAAAAACTAATTTTTTAAAAAATGTTGATTGTCTGAAATTTATGTAACGATACCATGCCTCAAAATAAATCTTTATTTTACAAAAAGTTCTTAAAGAGAAAAGAATCATGGAATAAAATTTTTAAAACTGTTAAAATAATTTAACGTATTTTTCATCAACAGGAGAATTTTTTAAGAAAACTATTAGATCTTTGACGCCAGGTGGCTGAGCGGTAGCTGTCATGCCACAGGTCCCTGGTTCGATCCTCGGGCCGGGCAAGGTTGACTCAGCCTTTCATCCCTTCAGTGGGTCGATAAATGAGTACCAAGCATGCTTGGGAACTAAACACTAGGGGTTCCGCGTTCGACTGACCACCTGACCGGAACATCTGCACCTGCACCCCAGAGCCCAAGGTCAAGAAAACTGAGATGGGCACAGTAGGCCTTGGCCCTCTATGGGCTGTCGCGCCGCTGAGTTCAGTATTAGATCTTTATTCAAAATTCGTGAAAATTAACTTCCAAAAACCTATTTCTCACAAATTTTAAAAATATAGAAACATATTTGAAATGTTTTCTAATCTTCAAATATATTTCTATATTTTGTCCATTATTTACAATTTTTTTTGTCCAACACCTGCAAGAAAGACAGACAAATGGTTCTATATGGAAATATGGTCAATAGGATCATATTTCCATATAGAACCATTTGTTCTATTGACCATATTTCCGACTTAATCGAGGAATCTGATTTTTTCCAATTGCCCTGTTTCACCCCACTTTCTCCTATTTAAAACTGACAAAAAATGTTTTATTAATTTATGACCAAAGTAAGAGCCTAAATATTTAAAAATATTAAATTTCAGTTATGAGAGGTATTTCGTATACTCTCCTGGTAACACACGAGAGATATTAAAGGGAATGCTGTTTAAATATAGTCATAAGGTCAGAATTAAAGAAAAAGTGAATCAGTTAAGAGATAAAGGAATGATAACGTTCTATTTTAGTTTCGATATGGGTATTAGTCGAAATATGTACATTTTCCTTGTTTTATCAGTCTTCTTACTATCGACAAGTACTTAAAATGTATATTTCGAAATACATCCTCAAAAATATGTAAGAAAGAAAAATATCGGAATGCTATATGAAGTAGAAATATTGTAGATCAGATTCTATGATTTAATCATCATTGATTGAGCTCAGAAGTAAGCAAACTTTAGCTGAAAAATGCTTGCATTAAATATTCAAACTTTTTTTCTCGTTGTTCTAGCAGTTTTATTAATTTCTGGTAAGAATTTCTTTTAAGTAAATTTTTTCATTAAAAATGTTAATTTCCAAATTTATATTTTAAAAATCTCAATCTGAGATCTTCCAAGTTGTTGTATAGTTAGTGAAAGTGCATTGTATAAGAAAAAAGTGCTGTTCAGAATAAACCTGCTCCAAACAAGTTAAAATGACATCCTTTCATTTTAAAGATACATAAAATGAATAGTTAATAATGAAAACCAGTAAAAAAGAAAGTTGGTACTTTTAGTTAACGACAATTAAGATAAAAAATAATTAAAAAATTAAAATTTACTCAAAATCAGAAAATAGCGCAGAAGAATTATTTATTAAGTTATATGTATAAATGAAGGAATCTAATACTCAAAACAGTAGATGAATACTTTTTACATCAAAACATCGTATTAGTTTTTAAATAAATTGTTAATTGTAGGATAACAAAAGCATTTAGTATTCAAGATATTCCTAGGAATTGATATTGCCTTATTAAAAGAATGAAAGAATAGAATAAAATGCTTCACCGATGTATACTTTCTCACAAATACAAAATCACGTATTGGTATTCATATAAATATTGTAAAATTCATTGTTACAAATTCATTGTATTAGCTCTTGCATTTTGCAGCTGATTTTTCAAATGCGGGTAAGTTAAATTTTTGTTAAACTGGTGACAGTTCAAGTATAAATCTTTATTTATACTTTAACTTTCACATAATATACATATATACAAAAATGTTGTGTAATCGTAAAATTTTAAAAAATAGTTTTGGAAAGTATTCATATACTGAAATATTTCCCGAAATAATCTTATTTTAAGATATAATTCTGATTAATAAATGTAATCGATCAATTGATTATTATTATAATTATACAGATAACTGCTAAAAAAATTAAGCTTATTGTTCTTCAGAAATTCATAATTTCAAAGAGTAATCAGATAGATGAGCAAATTTGCGGATTAGAATGTTGTCTGTTGTGTTAGTGCAGACGCTATAGCAATAAAAGTCATGGCAATTAGTATCTTCAGTTTCTAAAATACAATAGTTTAACGTAAATGCAACCAATTTATTTCATTAGGCGTAAAAAGGCGTGTTTCAGTCATTCGTTTGCATGGTAATTTTTCGCTAGCTTGGGCTGGCTATATATTTAGTTATATATTTTAGCTAGAACCGATTAACGATAAGTACACGCACTTATCGTTAAGTTGTCTCGAGTAAAATATTGAAGCCTGACTTTATACTGCACAATAAGCTGATCATAGCAAAATAAATATGGTTGATGCCACTTAAAAGTAAGTAAATTTTCTGGTTTTGATTGGTTAAGCTTTAAAAACGAGAAGGATCATGTTTTTTCAAATAATTCAAGCTATCGCAATTGTATTTTGTAACAATTAAGACAAAACCTTTTGTTTATAGTTTGAAATAGCTATGGTTCATCACGGCAGTCAAAAGTATATTGTAGCCAATGGTGATTGGCTACAATATACTTTTGACTGCCTCGGACAAAATTATTTATTTGTTTTTTTTTTCTTTTTCATTTTAATAGGAGACCCTTCGTTTATATTAAGGTAGTTTTTTGTTGAACTACTTCAATGCAATTTTTATTTATACGAAATTTTAATATAAAAACTGTTTCTATTTCCAATGCTTAATTTTTGTAACTGCATTTCTAAATTAGAATTTAAATTTCAGAAAAATTAGCAAAAACTATTTTAATAAATTTCTATAACCTTAAAATTCCTACTTAAAGTTATAAAAGAAACTTTGAACATTGGAAATAGAAACAGTTTTTATATTTAAATTTCGTATAAATAAAAATTGCATTGAACTAGTTCAACAAAAGAACTACCTTAATATATTTCATTTCTCTCTCACTGTGGCATATTATTTATAATTACATAAAATGTGAATTAAGAAAAACAAACTGAAACAGTACTAAGCTGCGCATTCCTATAGCGTTTAATGAATTAATAGTTTTTCTGTTTACGTCATGGTAACTTGTTGTTTGTTAATAAATTCCAAACTTCATCGACCTTTTTTTTCTGTTGCGCTTCATTTTATTTTATTCGTATACATTATTTAAAAGAAGTAAATTTTGACTTGGAAAAATATCTGGCTTTCATTGTTTTTTTGAAGAGAATAGGGCTAGCTAAATGATTCCCCTCACAAAATAATCTTCTTTACTCAAATATACGATGTATAGCTGTGATATTAAGTATGTCTCTTCTCATTTCTCTCTTTTTTACATTTTTATCCAAACTTTTAATAAAATTTCTTTCTCGCGAAACATAGCCACTAACCCCTTTATCTTTTCTTTTCTTTTTTGAGCCTGTTTTTACATGTTGCAACAGTGCAAATATATTATGGCATAGTAATATATCTGGGGTAACCATAAATCGAACATTTATGTTATTTTGAATTACTGCAAGAACCTCAAACCGACTCACTCACGAAAGCTACTAAAAAGCATTCATATTCAAAAAATTAAATACATTTAAGAAAAAATTATAAGAATACTTAGCACTTGAAACTAAAAAACACTCGAAGGGTATTATTATTATAATATAAAGAAAGCTGACTTTCCAATAAAAGAGCCCTTAAGAATAACAGTACATATGATGCCCAAAACTTACTCCCCCTCCATTATGAGAAACAGCATAATTTCAGAGTATAAATTATTTCGGACAAGATTTAAGGCAAAAAAAGGTAAATTTTATTGCTCTGAAAGAATGTATGGATTCTAAATATAGTTAGCAATGAATAAAATCAAAAATAATGTTTTAATTAAATACATTTTTTCAGAACTTGTAATTAATCTATTTAATAATGTTTATAAAAGCACAAATAACTTAAAAATTCAAATCAGTCTATTATGAAAAATATTGGTAATCATGCTTCAAATGAAAGATACTCTTTAGCTATTTTTCTTTAACTATTTTTTATTTCTTCAGGGTTTTTGGCTTCTACTATTGTCCCGATGCATATACATTTTCACCAAAAAAAAAACCATGTCTCAAACTTTTTTTGTTGATAAGATATATGTGAAAATATAGTTCAAGTATTTACTTAAAATTACGTTGGTAAAATTCTGATTTATATATAATATTTGAAATATTTACATTGAAAATATGAAGATAAATTAAACTTATTTAATATTAGAACTTATACTATTAGAACTATGATTTAGGCATCGCTATTTCATCTATTAAAAATTAGCATTTTGATTTAAAAGGTTAAGAATATAACGATCTTTAATTTTTAGTTTTGGAACATGGTGACCCGGGTAACCCGGAATGAGTCCAACCAATGAGACTCAAAGGGGCTTTCTTCAGGGAGTTTTACACTTGAAAAAAACTCTCGGAATAAATTATGATCCTGAATATCTTGTCCCAACCCAAAATCCGATAAATTTGAAACATTTCCAAATAAATTTGGATTCATGTCAAAGTGTAAATAAACGCAATATGGATCCCGCTATTTTGAAAGTCTTGACTTATGAAGTATTGAGCTCTTACTACCCTGAGCCAGAGTGGCTTCGGATCTACACCGACGCATCCCTCCTACCAGACAATCATAATTCTGGTGCCGGAGTTTTCTCCGAGTCTTTTTCCTTTTATGTCCCTGTGAGACAAGGATCTGCTTTTGATGGAGAGATAGCTGCAATCTGAATAGCTCTAGTCCAGTTACAGTGTCATATCGATCTTTTTTTAAAAAAGCTGTTGTCCTGTGTGACTCAAGAGCTGCTTTGCTTGCCATTGCATCCTTAAATAATTCCTTAAGTCGAGACATTTTAGATTGCCACCTCCAACTTGAATACCTAGCATCCCTTAAGAAAATCATTGTTCTCCAGTGGGTTCCTGCACATTGCGGGGTTACAGATAATGAAAATGCAGACTACTTAGCAAAAAAGGGGGCCTTAATCATTCAGACTTCTGCGTAAATTATGCCCTTCTGTTCCATCAAACATCTTATTAAGAGGACCTTTAAGACCTGTGCTCATGAAGAACTTATCGACTAAACTTCTATTAAGTCTTGGAGGGAATGCTATTAGAACTTAGATTTAGGCATTGCTAATTCATCTATGAAAAATTAGCATTTTGATGCATTTTGATTTAAAAGGTTAAGAATATAACAATCTTAAATTTTTAGTTTTAGAACAGGGCTGTCCAACTGGCGGCCCGCGGGCCGCATCTGGCCCGCCAGCACATATTGTGCGGCCCGCCAACTTCTTATTCAGGCTGATCGCCCTCAGTTTTCCCATTAAAATGTAAGCAAATTGTTTTATAATCCTTCTGTTCCATTGTTTTATAATTAATAGTTCAACTATTAATTGTTATTGTATGAGGGTTGCTATTTATATTTCTGGCCTAATAATGAAAAAACAAATATGTAGGATCGAAATTGGTTTTATTGTTTTTCAAAATATTCTCCATGATGATCAATACACTTTGCATGCGTTTGAACCAATTTTCAAAGCACTTTTTCCAGTCCGATTGATGTAACTCCAAAACATGCGTTTTGAATGCATCAACCGCTTCTTCGGGGGTCGAAAATCGTTGTCCACGTAATTTATTTTTGATGTGTGGGAATAAGAAGAAGTCATTGGGTGCCAAATCAGGGCTGTACGGCGGATGACCCATCAGTTCGATCTTTCGCTCCGTCAGAAATGCCTTTGTTTGAGTCGATGTGTGAGAGCTCGCATTGTCATGATGAAGAATGATTCGCCTGTTCTTCTGCTTTTTTCGAATTTCTCCGATGACTTCTGGCAAACAAATGGTCGTGTACCATTCAGAATTGACCGTCCTGCGTTGCTCTAACGCCACTGTTGCCACATGACCGTTAATGCCGAAGAAACAGGCAATCATTTGTTTCGATGTGCTTCTTCCTCGAACAACTTTTGTTGGTTTTGCCTCGTCTTGGAAGACCCATACAGTTGATTGCTGTTTTGTTTCCGGCTCATATGCATAGATCCATGATTCGTCACCTGTGTAGATGTTATACACAGCCTTTGATGTACCTTGAACGTATTTTTCCAACATTTCCTTGCACCAATCGACACGAGCCTTTTTTTGAGCGTTTGTCAGATTATGCGGGATCCAACGCGAACAAATTTTTTTTACGCTCAAATGTTCATGCAATATTTTATTGATGCTAGTCATACTAATGTCCAAAGACGCCTCTATCTCACGGTATGTCACATGACGATCTTGCTTTATCAGTTCACGCACAGCATCGATCTTTTCTGGCACAACAACGGATTTTGGACGACCTGCACGGGATTCGTCCTGGATCGAACATCGACCACGATTAAATTCGTTATACCAATTTTTTACAGTGCTGTAGGATGGCGCTTTATCGCTGAATAAAGAATTAAGTTCATCGAAGCACTCTTGTCTTGACAATCCACGTCGAAAGTTATGAAAAATAATGGCACGAAAATGTTCACGATTCAATTCCATTTTTTGAAAGAGAAGAACTTTTCAATTTACTGTCAACAACACAAATGAAGCTATAATGGTAAATCTTCTGCTGAATTTATGTTTAAAAATGTCAAACTTTCGATTAAAATCGTCTGCGGTCGCCTAGCAACACTAACTGTTGCCAAGGCCAGAAATATAAATAGCAGTCCTCGTAGAGGTAAGAGGTTATTGTTCAACTTTTTCAAACTGCGGCCCGCCAGGTGATCAGTGACCGGAATTCTGGCCCGTGGGCTCTTTGCAGTTGGACAGCCCTGTTTTAGAACATCAGGTTATTTTTCACAATAGTTTATGGGCATTGTATGTCATGTTTCATATAAATAACATTTCGTTGCAAAACATATTGAAAAAGTAAGGAAATAGTTTGAAATATCTGAAAAATGATTTTAATAATTAATAGATTTATTAAAATTACTTTGTATATTTTCTGTTAAAGAATTTGCTAATTCGACTACTGTATTTGAAAGAGCATCAAAATTCTTATCACCTTTTCTTATTGTATTTAACGAAGAAAATTCAATCAAATTCTGCCAACTGTTATCAAGTATGAACCAATGAAACTTCTCTCCCCCCTTTTTTTTTCATTTAAAAGCATAGTGAAATTACTTCAAAAATTAATTTCTCTATGTAATTAATTTCAAAAATTAATTTCAAATTAATTTCAAATTTCAAATCTTTAATTAATTTCAAAATTCTTATCACCTTTTCTAATTGTATTTAACGAAGAAAATCCTTTCAAATTCTGCCAACTGTTATCAAGTATGAACCAATGAAACTTCTCCCCCCCCCCTTTTTTTTCATTTAAAAACATAGAGAAATTACTTCAAAAATTAATTTCTCTATGTAATTAATTTCAAAAATTATCTCCTTTATTATCTATAACCCATAAAATTTACAATATATTGAGTATTCTTCGGCACATGCATAAAACAAGCTGTGGAGAATTATTAATAAGAAGATGTTAAGAATTATTTAACTTTATTTTCAATTTAATTAATTTATCAATGCTTTCTTTTATATAGACAACACCCTTGAAGAAAGAATAAAGAAATTAATAGGTACTGAACTAAAGATATTACAAGTAATTTTAAAAATTTACAAAATTTTTACTATATTAATGTTTTCAATAAAAGCTTTAAAAGTTTCCTGCAGTTTATGACATAGATTAAAATTTGAAAAACTGCCTTCTTTTGCAGATTAGAGAATGTAAATTTAAATGAAAAGGGTTCTTGGCGTAGCTTACATCGTTAATTGAGTATACATTGTTAATTGGCGTAGCTTACATCGTTAATAATAGGTAAAACTTCTACCTATTATGATTTCTGACCGCATATCTGATTAAGTTTCTCTATACTGGGCCAAAACATAAGTTAGCGGCTAGGAGAACATTATTTCGAGCGCTTTTTAGTGTTATCCCATTTAAACATGAGTTCAACCTCAATATGCAATTATTTACCCACACAGTCTACGCGGACATACAAATGGGCTGTAGTGTTCAGTAGAAACGAGCCAATAAGCATAAAACTAATTCATTTCTTTTGTCCCGGAAAACATTTTATTTCTTATTTTACCCACCAGGACATATTTAAGGTAATTGTAGATAGTAAGTTTATTTTAAACTAAATATCAGCACAAGATGCTTGGATGTCAGAAAACAAATAGGCACTTTTATGACCGTTTTCTCGAAAATTTACCGATCGTTAAGGGGTTAATGCTTTGAGGGGTTAAGGGATCATTAAGGGGTTAATTGAGCAAACAAATACCATACCACTAGGCCACTGATTCAGGAATGAAGCAAAAATTTCACTTTTGTTTAAAGTGCGTTTGACATTTTAATGTATTTATCTGGGAATTAGCTGGTAAGTGCGCTTTATTACATTACGAGGTGAACAGCCTTAATGTACATTACTAATTAGGTCTTATGCCAAAGTGAATTTCCGAAATCGTGCCCTCCTTATCTTAATTTTTTTTTTACTTAAACGTAATTCAACTGCTACACTTTATTTATCGTAACATGTTTTTAGAGGTAAAATGAGTAAAAGTAAAACATATTAACTCTAAAAACAACCATACGTTATGTGTTTCCATTGTAATTTTTATTTATTTCTAATTCTCTTTATTTAATTAATTTTAAAATAATTTATTTTAGATTTAGGAATTCCAGGTGGTAAGCAATATTAAAATATTAAAAGTTTCTGTTTAATATTTTTTTGTGCTGTGCACAAAATAATTTAAGGATTTTAATGAACTTTTTGTTAACATTGGATCTGTTAAAAATTATTATTTGTTTGCTTCAGTCTTTTACAATAACCATCAAAATTCAAAGGAAATCATTAATTTTATGACGTCAATCATGGAGGTTCGTGGGATCGTGTAAACTCAAATATGCAGTAAGAACAGAAAACTATAATGAATAGTTCAAAACTTTCGAAAACTTCTTTTTTTTTAGCTAACTATTGTATTTTTACTTCCGTTAATTTGTTGGCACTTAAATATTCTTAAGTGGTACTTAAATTTCAATTTTTATTAGATAAAATCAATGTGATTTATCAAGTAATAACTTAATTAAACTATAAATACTTAGAAATTCCATTTAGTCTATTCTAACAAATCTTGATAATTTTATTTCAAATAAAATATATTATTTCGCTATTTAATGTTGGATTAACTTTTTTTCAATTTTTTTTTCTGGGTTTTCATTTCTTTTTCTGTCTTGATAAATATCCATTTTCTGCGAGAAAAAAAACATATTCTTCTTATTCTTATTTCTTCTTATTCTTACTTCTTATTTTTCGTTATGACGCGTAAAAGTATAGTGCTAATAATTTCAATGAAAATATGAAGATAAACTGAAATTTTTTTAAAATATTAGAACTCATAATTTTAGTACTTCAATAAAAGTTCAAAAAGAGCTCTATAAAATTTCAATATAAGCTTAAATAAAATGTATTCGAACGGTAATTATTATGTGAACAAATTATATGATAAAATATAAATCTGAGACTTTAGTTGTTGCTTTTTAATATTAGCAACTGTTTTAAAGATACGATTGCTCACACGTCTACTGAGCATGTGACGTCATGATGACGTCACTCTCCATAAAAGGGGAAATAGAAGACCAAGCCTTACTGTTTGGAAACCTTGATAAACTCAATGAAACAATTCTATACAGAATTTATCAATTTTACACTTCAATGTAAATGCACCTAGTCACTGCCCTAATCGTACATGCACGTCCTTATTACAAATTAAAACAGGTAAACTTATAACCCTAATATCCCTGAGGATGTACGTATTTTAAATATAGAGCCGATAGATACCATACACTGTTAAAATTTTCATTCTAAGATTGTGGTAAAATAACTGGCAGCTGTCTGTCCATCCGATTAACTGTAAAGTTTACTGTAAAGAACATTTTCTTCCTTTATGGTTTTGAAACCATTTACAAAAATTATGGTTATGAAACTTTGAATACAAAATTTTACTGTTTTTTAACCATTTACAACCAGCATTTTTCACAAACGTAAAAAAAATCAATTATTTAACTAGACATAGGAGCTCGGCTTTTCGTAAGCCAATGGGCATTGGAGATTGCCGGACACTGGAAATTCTTCATGTGTTGAAGGGAATGGAGGAAATATTGTGGTGTCAACACTAGGATTCGAACTCCAGTTCTGCCTGTCATGATATTGACTGATAAGCCCGCTCCCCTACGATGTGTACGCAATTGCAAGGAACTAAGTAGCTTCATTAGATGGCTCTAGTTGGTGCCATAAAATTCTGGTTGTTTAACCATATTAAGTGAAAGCAGTTAAGTTACAGTTTTTTTTAAAATTAGCAGTTTGATTACCATTTTATTTATGGTTATTTAACTGTTTTGATTAAATATGCTGAAATAACCATTTAATAAATTATTATTTAACCATTTTTTCCGAGAAATTTCTAACAGTGTACCACTAGGTCACTGAGTCGAGAATGAAGCAAACATTTAACTAGTACTTAAAGAGCGCTTTACTTTTTTTATAAAATTTTCTTGGAATTAGCTGGTTAGTACGCCTTATTATTAATGTGAACACTCTTAAGGTATATTATTTATATTCCAGGATATACCAAAGGGAATTTCTTAATCCATCCTCTCATTGTCTTAAATTTTTATTGAACTAACAGAATTCAATCGCAACACTTGATATTACCTTAACGCGTTTTCTTAGATGTAAAATAAGTAGAAGTGAAATATTTTAACGTTAAAATCAACTGTATGATACGGATTTTTCAAAAGGAATTTTTATTTATTTTTATTAAATTGATTTTGAAATATTTTCTTTTAGAATTCGCACGCGGTGAGTAATTTTAAAATTTTAATATTTTTATTTAAGAAAATGCTTTTCGTTCACTCCAATTTTTTACCCTAACTTTCCAGAGTCAAAGCTTCACAAAAAATTTTTGTCACATGAGGAAGTTCGAGGGATAGTGGTAACTCATATTTGTATTGAGAATAGAAAACTGTAATAAATAGCTCAAATCTTTGTTCTTAGTTTCTTATTAATGTGAAATATTTTTGACTTCACTGAATTGTTGGTGTATAAATATTTATAAGTGGTACTTTAACATTTCATTTTCTGTTTGAATAAATCAATGTTAATTATCATGTTATCCCTCAATAAGGTGATCACACAGAACTATGTACACTTTTAATATAGCAATATTGTTTGCATTTCATAATCGAGAATAAAAAATGTTTTCCTTTCCCTTTCTAGTCAGGACTCACGAATGAAACAGTTTTTCATAAAGGAGTATTAATAACAAAAGATTAAACAAAGAGTAACAAAAGAATATTTAAAAGTATCTTTCTTATTTTTTTAATATATTGGGGGTAATAAAATATTGAATTTAATGTCATATTAGTAAATTCAAAGTTATACATTTATTTGAATCCCCATTTAAATAAATGTATAACCAAACAATTGCATGACTAGGAAAAACATCTCATATATTATGTTGTTAAAAATAAAAATAAAGGAAGAAATTATAATTTTTTTATCATATTCATAAAATTGGTGTTTTTAAATAAGTTCCAATAAATTCGTTCAGAACCATACGAGAGTGGAAAATTACAAATGATAACAATATGAAACTATATTTACAAATAAACGACCCATATAGTACAATTAAGTCTGTAGTTATTGTATTATTGTATTATATTGTATATTGTATTATTGTTCAGTTATTGATGTATTATTGATAAAAAAAAGTATTTCCAAACGTAATATTTTAAAATTATTTATCTAACATTTAAAAATTTTGATGACAGTCTTTCTCATTTGATTTCTAAAAAATGTAAGACAAATCCTGGAATTCTCTAGAAAGAAAACATTAGAAGAATATTCCAAGCAGAAATTGCTTTTCAATAATTAACTATGAACGTTAAGATACAAATAAAAGATTGGATTGTACATTTTTTATAGCCCGCAATTGAGAATACTTCGAACTAGTTGACTTAATGGTACCTAAATGACAATTAATAATTCAGTTTAAAAATTTAGCAACATGGCTAAAAATTGAATAATATGTAAATATTTCTCAATTTTTAAACATTTAAAGTTATTTTTTTAGAAAAAAAACTATTTTTTAATTTAAAAGTTATAATGATTACTGCTTTAAATCTGTTAATCCATTTGCTTATACATTAATCAGATTCCATGGTTAATTATTTGCTAAATTCTAGAAAAGAATTCAAAACTATCGAATACACAGATATAACACAATTCACAGCTAAACATTACTGTTTGTCAGAGAGCTAGTCTGTCAATCTCATGACCGATAGAACAGGGGTCGAAGTCCCAGCTTTGGCATTGCATTAATTCATTCATTCCCTTCAACACAGGAAAAGTTTCCAGTTTCGTACACTGCATAATTTGTGACACTGTCTAATAGAATACGTTACTCTCATTATCGTATAATTGGTAGCACTATAAAGCTGCTAACAAAAAGTCTAGTATATTCCATATCTCACAATAGACTAAACAACTATATAAACAAACTAAATCCCATTCCCCGGTTTATTTGGAAAAAAGAACAAAACTCAAAAACAACCTAACTTCAATTCCCATTACCAAACGAAAAGCTTTGCTTCAATGTCCAGTATATTTCTTTTTTACGGTTTTGAAACTATACCAGATGTAAATGGTAAAAAAAAGCATGAATGCAAAACTATGCTGTTGAAAAATTGTATAGTTTTGGTTGTTATCGAAGTAAGATTTCATTATCTCATTTTTACTTTGAAGTGCTTGAAGACATTTTTTTGCTGTTGCTTTAAATTATTATTTGGTTTAAATTTTTTATTTTGTTATATCATTATTTTGTTTGTTATTTTGTTTTGTTATGTTAATTCATGTCACTAGGCAGAGCTATAAATTTATTTTAAAAAAAATCAGTGAGCTAAATTTAATTTTTGTCAAACTTCAAAGCTTAGATTTGTGCTATGCTTTGACGTTTTTAGAATTGCCTAAATCACAAATTGATTTAAATTGACTTTCCATCTTAGTTTCTAATTGGTCTTTAAAATAAGCTTTGAAGTATTGATTTACTTTGAACTTTCGATATTAAATTGATTTTATGTTGTTTCTTTTATATAGAAGCCATAACTATGATTTTAATGCTGTAAGAAAATTTTAAATTTTTATAGTTTGCATATTTCAAACGTCTTAAAGATGTGCATGGAATTCTTAAAAAATCGTGTACACATTATTGCATCTTATGATATAATATAAATATGAAACATTTTGTAATCTCTCTTTGCATATTGCATGTTCATTAACACGCATGTTTTTAGCAATTATATAGCGTTTGTCTTAAAAAAAAAATTTAAAAAAAAATCAACCAAAAAAAAATCAACCAATCAAAGGAAAAGCTCCGTTAATTCGATTGAGGAACTACGCCAAATTAAATACGTTTTGGTATCTAAATTAGATGCATTTCAATAATTTGAATAAAGTTTTATGCTGAAAAAAACTGAGTAGGAAAAGCAAACGATGGCTATGAAATTCCGAGATATATCAGGGTATTTTATTTGAATATTAATGAATGCGAAGAACTCTAATTCCACTTCCAATTCTTCTTCCGAATAATGAGAGAACGATTTCACACCAGTTAATTTGAAGACGAGGCTTTGGTGTTAGTTTCTAAAGAGTGACAAAAGCTTTGTAGACCGACTGGATAATTAAACTGGTTTGGATTACACGAATGATCCTTTAATAACGATTGATTAATACGTAAGAAAGACGTATGTTTATAATTTTCTATTAATTTCTTTTAATATTGCTAGTCCCTTTAAACTCTACAAGCTTTAAACTTTATTGATATGTATTATAAATCGCATGATCATCACTAAGCACTTCTAAAGCTATGAAATAATTCTCTAAGTACTTCTCAAGAAATATTAAAAATTGAGTTAGAAGTGCTTCCATAATTTTTTCCAAGCACTATTGACCCAGTAAGGTAGATTTTTTTCATAATTTTAAAGTGAAATAAATTTTTTTGATACCCTGTATACAACATATAGTTAATGGTCACTAAATTCGGGTTCAAAGTACGATAATAAATTACTGGCATCCTGACTTGCAGTACCAGAAAAATCCATTTTACTCTAAAATCCTTGTTTGCCTTATAATTGTATGGAGTAATTTTCCCAGTAATATTAACTGTATTATTACAATATCACTCACTCTCATTTAGGACAACCTAAAATGTTTATTTCAATGGAGGTAAGTAAGAACATTAATATCATTATTTTTCGTTTGAATATACATCAGGGCAGCCTAAATTTTTTATTTTAACGGAAGTAGGAAAGAATATCAATATCATTCACTTTCGTTTAAATGCATTATGAAAGCTTAAAATTCTTACTAAATTACTTTAAACACTTGATTTTACAACAGAATATCAATATTAACATGGTTAAAAGGGAAAACTTTTTGAAAGTCACTGGGGCAATCAGTGAAAATAATGAATGAAAAAAAATAAAAAAAGTGTCACTGCTCCGTGATCATTAGCCCTGTATAGCCTACATTGATGTGTTTAGGATTAAGTGCCTTAAAAAACGCAAAAAGAATAACGAGAATTAAAACCGTGCTGTTTAAAGTACTTACATTACGAATTAAAAATACAAACTAAGTGCAGGTCCCCTGCATAACAAGTAAACAAACAACAACTGACATGGTCTAGTTGTTTGCGCGCAAAATGCATTCATATTCGAAATCTCACCGAACGCTTAGGAAATTATTACACGAACTAAACTTCCTTAGTAATCCATAATAATAACCGGTAATTGAGACAATTTCTGATAGATTATACACTAAAACTCATTTATTTAGCTGTTATTAATAATTGCAAGTGATTAATCCAAATTACAATATTAACCAATTGATAAAAATGGCCATGATATACACAAATATTATCAACGAGCTCCTAATTTTGTTTGAATGGAAAGAGAAAATTTAAAATATTTGTTGAAAGGAGAGATAATGGTTTAAATTATATCCAGAAGATGAAACAAAATCCACTTTCTTATAACTTTTCGGAATTGTTTAAAACAACACAAATTCTTCGAATTCTTCGAAACCAATTCAAAGCTAAATCGAAATACAAATTTGGAGAACAAAATGGGGAAAGGTAACAAATGATAGTAAAAAGAAATTGAACGTGATTTAACTAATGTCGGTTTATGGCTTTCGGTTTTGTATAATATTGTGTAATGTTGATTATTAACGATTTATTAGTCCTTAATTCCTTTTTGCTAGTATGAATATAGGCGAGGTTAGCTTGTATAAAATAAAAACATCAAATAATTAATTGTAACTTTTTTATTTTTCAGAAGATTTTGAAGCGCCATCTCTAGCAATTACAAGAATGACTGTAAACAGATTAAAATAAAATGTTCTAAACACATTGGTATTTTTTTTTTTACAAATGAGCATACTGCATTGTTAGGACATTGTAATTTTCATTCAATGTGTTGTTATGTACATAGCTTTGTTAAAAATGTATGTGTCTCCTAACGATATCCAGCGAAATTTAAACAAGGTAAAACAGCAATAATTAAGCAACAGCTGATCACTCAAAAGTAACTGTCACCCATTTATATCGGATAGATACCAGTTATTAATTATTGCCAGCTTTAAAAGTAAGTTACATTTAAAAAAATACATATAAGTTAGCTATTGAAAAATATCCTTGATATATATACTCTAATTATTAAGCATATTTCTCGTGTTAGAGGATTTAACTTAAATTACTAATGCACTGCTTTATATTATAAGTTATTGTTTTGCTTGCGTTAAATTAATTGTAAAGTTAATGCGGTTTTAAAAGTTTATGTGTTTTTAAAATACCACGCACTGCATTAAGAAAGTTAAAGCCGAATAAAAACTTGATTTTAGCAGAATATCAATTGCAATATTTTGATTAATTTTATATTTTTAAAAAAAATTCTTTTTTCAGTATGTGCAATTGCTTTGCATTTTTGTTTATTCCGGAAACTGGATTATCATGAAAATTCCTAGAATAACAAGTAGTGCAATTTGGTGCAGTCATTTTCTGGTTATTGTTTTATAAGGCTCCCAATAACTCCTCTTACTTTGAAATAACCATGTACTTTATTTTTAAATTTTAAATGAAAAGCACTGAAGTATTTAATTAAAATGGTTGCACTCTACTAAATACTCTAAATGTTGTGTTAGTTAATGAAATGTTACAAAAAAAATTATTTACTGTTATTTATTAACAGATTAATATATTAGGATTAATTTAAGATTCTCAGTATTTTAGGAACATGAATGGTTACAGTTGATGCAAGATTCTACGTAGATACCATGAGAAGATTCTAAGAAGATACTAAAGAAGATATTGAATACTAAAGAAGATTACCTCATCATCACAAAAAATCCTTAAATATTAAACTAAATAATTTCTATCAGAAACTTTGTCTTATTAAACGAATCCAACAAAACACGACAAACAAAAAAAAACTTTAATAAAAAAATCAAAGAAATAATAAGAAAAGTTTTTGGAACAGCGAGCATAATTTGAAAAGAACTTTATCTAACTTGAAGTTTTTCAACAAAAAAAGAAAAGAAAACGAGATGTGCGTTTTAGATCTTTAAAGCAGTTTCTCTTTTCTGCATTTGAAATGAATAAGTACATATAAAAGTAGCTTAAATTTTCTGATGTCATATTTTTTTCAATTTTTTTAGGTTTTATATGTCAATATTCCCCCCTTAATCCATTAGAAATGCTATTTATTTTTTGAATGCCATTATTATTATATGATATTATTTAGTTTCAGTTTAGTATAATCTTATAACTTGAGTTTATCTGGTAAATGAAAGACCCGAAAACTTCTTTATTGTTAACGATAACTCTGATTATTTCGAGTACTTGATTCAAGACATAAAATTAGATTAGTGTTTGACTCAAGTATTTAAGTTCAGGCTTTGTGTTTAATCCAGACGTCGTTTACAGAGCAGCTTTTACAGATATCAAATTCGATTTCGTCCCTTTCAACTCAAAGGAATGGAATGTAAAAATAAAGCATCTACTGAGTTTGCCATGGAATTGAATAATCTAAAATTTGATATGGAAATGAATAATCTTATATGGGGTATGGGATTGAATAATATTATATGATAAATAAAAACGAATAATCTTAAGGTGGGATGTGGAAATGAATAATTTTATATGGGATATGGAAATGAATAACTTTACATGGGGTATAGAAATGAATTTTTTATATGGGATACGGAAATTAAAAATGTCATATGGAGTATGGAAATAAATAATTTTATTTGGGATAAAAAAAAATGAAAAATCGTATTTTTTTTCTAAATTTGAATAAATTTAAAAATTATTTGGTTCCAGCATCATCAAAATTGTGTGGGTAACTTCAAACTGAAACACCGACCGGCCTGTGTAGGGGTTAGGGTACTGCCCTTGCATCAGAAAGGTTCTGGATTCGAATCCAGGGCAAGGCATGGATGTTCTTTCCTTCTCTGTACTGCTTGTCCTTACTGTGGGAGAAACGTTGGCGCACCTAATGTGGTGCTCCTGAAAGAGTGGCCAACAAATCTGCCCTTCAGATATTTGTATGACCTAGGTCATTCTCCAGGTGGGCATCGGAAGAAAAAAAAATAAAAAAACTTCAAACTGAAACATATGGAAAAGAGCTCGAACTCACGATTTTTTAATTACTCGACACTTATAAACTCAGTTATTTGATTTTTTTTTAGTTGTACAAAAACAAAAAATAAGACTTGGTAGGAATTGAAATTTATTTCTATGAAATAAGAATTTTTAAAAAAATGATTTGGTTTCAGAATTATTAAAATTGTGAGGATAGTTTCAAACTTAAACGTATGGAAATAAAAAGGAGTCTGATTTTACTATTTTTTTAATACTCCAAACTCATAAAATCCTTTATTTAATATTATTTTATTAGCCCTGAAAAATATGAATTTAATTTAGAGAATATACGAAGAAGAGAGGAAGTGGGAAAAAAAGAATGCAGTAAATTAGCATTGCATAAAATAAAGTATGTTTTCATATTAAAAATTAACAGAAATAAGAAGACTATATTATTCCCCTTTATCATTTATTAATCTAATTTAACATTTGTACATTTTATTAACTCTTTCGATATCATTCTTAGTCATTCCTTGCTTGCTGTACGGTTCTGTCAATTTCTGTCCATTTCTGGCTACCATCGTGTCTTTACCGTTCATGGAGAAAGCCTTGTTGCCGTAGATCATAATGGAATTGTGATCAAAAGTATTGTACAAAATGTTCTGCTGAGGTCTAAGCTTTTGGAAGTTAGACTGCATGCCTAAGTAATACAGAAATATGCATATAACTTTAAATTATGCTTCATAATCATATGTCTGAGGTAGATAGTGTGTTTGAGATTAAGTAAACTAATAAAGATTGGTTTATGCTTAACATATTGGTTATACCATGGAATACTCCAAATAAAAGTAAAATATATTTCTACAGTGTACGGTAAAAAATTCTGGATCAAATTACGGTAAAAAGTACCAGCATGTGGGTTTTTTTTAAACTTTAAAATCCATTTGAACCGAAACTTGTTACATAACAAATTTTTTTAAACTGTAATTTTAACAGTGATAATTACCCTTCACTGAATCACTCATATAAAATAAATATTACTGTAAATATTATTTTATAATATTATACGGTAAGAATATATTTTTTGGTAAAATGTATTTTACGAATTATGTACCAAAAGTCCCTCCACGTTTTACCGTAATTTCATCTGGAATTTTCTACTGTGCGTTACTCTTACGGAAACATAATTACCGTACATTATGTGTGGCTTTAAACATTCCACCTTAAAAATAGATAGCACAAACTCAAAAGATTAAAAATAAAGCTATTTACTCGTATACATAATTCTTACCGATTCTAACAGTAAGGAGGTGTTAATAATAAAGTAAGATTTTTTTTAAACACATTTGTCAGTTTTTTCGTTAATAACTATCTTTGTAGGTTGAGAATAATCTTTATTACTATGCAACTCAATTTTCTGTGGAAAAAATTTAAAAACTTTAGTTTTAGGAATGAAAAATATTTTCCTTTATTTAAGATGAATCAAGCATACGGCATTTTAATTATAAAAGTAGAAACAATATAAGAAATAATTATTACCATCTTATTTTTCTGCAGTTCTGTTATTCGGTAATTTAAAATACTCAAATTTGTCTATTTAACAAGTAGTTAATAATAGGGCACTCTAACCAGCATAATTGCTCACCGCAGTTCAGGGAGAGCAAAGAAACTTCATACAGTGGCAGCTGCAATGGCACTTCATGCCATAAAAATATACATTTTCAATGTTACAAAGGGTTGCAATGGGAAAGATCTGGAAAAGATATGGTTCCAACCTAGTCTGGAGATCGGCAATTTTATTTTAACTTTTAATACTGTAATTTGAATATTTCGTTGTGTGTCAAATATCTTTAAGAGAATGAAGTATTTAAATATTTATAACACTCCCTAGACTGTGTTGTACAACTATGGTGGTTAAGGCGTCTAACTAAGAACCTGGAGTTCCTTGGTTTGAATCCTGCGGGAAGCTAATGAACTTTTTTTTCCTTGTATATCCCTGTTGACACTACGCAGTTTGCTCAAAAATGATTTTTTTTTTTTGCTGTTTCAATTTTGGATATATGAGGCTTTCAAGTCTACTTAGGCACATTTTTACTCAATTTAGAGTAACCCTTTTTTACAATGTCAGAATCAAATTACGGTATTTTCAAAATGTCTACAATCATCTGCAATCACTTTTTGAAACCTGGGAACACAGTCTTTTACACTTCAAAACGCAAAGGACAAAATTGTAAATGTGACATATAGTACCGTTTGGGTATTTTTTTCAGTTTCTACAAGAAAACTCTGTTTTAAGAGAACTATAAAATACTTACTTTTTGACACATTTTCAAGGTAGATGATCAAATGCTCATCTCTGTCTGATCTGCTCTGCTCGTGGAAGAATCCAAGGGCATGTCCCAACTCGTGAACGACTGTGCCTACGTAGTGGCATCCGTTACCAAGAGACAATGCTTGTTGGCCGTTGATTTTTCCCACATAAGAATAACACCTGTATTTGGAGGCCAGATTGACATTTATTGTATTTAAAGCATTATTAATGTATTTTAATTAGTTGCAATAATTTAGTAGTTGTTTATTTAAAACATGCCTTAATTTTGTATGATTTTTTATAAATTTATTTAAGTTCAATATTAGTATAACGATTCAAGTTTACCCATTTGGCGCCACTACATCAAATGTAAATTTCTTATGGAATTTTTCAAACTTTACTGCATTTAATAATGCACACATAAGGCAGAAAAAAAATATTTAACCCTAAAAATTGAATTACTTTTATTATTATATCTTGTACTCGAAACGGGATCTTTGTAACCGAATGGTAAGTAAGCACGTAGTACAATTTTTTCCCAAATCGAAATTTTCTAAATTAAATCTAATAAAAAATTCCTTTCAAATTGAATCTATCCTTAACTGCCTGTAAAACATTCAAAATTAATTTGTAATTTACATCGCGATATCCGTTTGAAAAAAAGAACATTTCGTATTAGGAAATACTAATTAAGTAAATAACAATGTATGCTATACTGCTACTTTTATAATTAAATACAAACTGCGTACGTTTAGTAACGTATCCCGTGTCAGTCACGATACCCATTTATATTTTCATTAATAAGAAGTATAATAATAAATAAAAATATAATAATAAATATCCGTACATAGTGTTAATAAAACTAATATTTTTTAGCATACATCGTAATAATATATTTTAAGTTTTATCGAAATCTTGGTATACAGTAGTTTTTTTTCTCTTTATTATACTTTATTTTTTATTACTTTATTTTATATTATACTTTATTATTTTGCTTTCATGCATCTTTTATTTTTGTGATTTTTAAGAGTTCTTAATATTAGTTCGTAATATTAGCTCTAAAATTGACAAAGGATTTTATAATTAATAAGCCTAAAATTACCTGAATTTGTATCGCATTCGCTTTGAACACAAATTTAAACTTCTTTTGAATTAAAATTATTAGTTTTAAATCTTCGATTTCAGAAAAAATAAGAGATATTTTTAAAGCTATTATAACCATGTTTATTCTTTGAAAGAATATAAATGTTTGTTCAAATGAATATGCAAACTTATCGATCTTACCCTTGGCCCTTGAATATCTTTACATAGTTGGCTTCAGTTGTTCTGGGAACAAATTTGACGCAAGTGTTCTTATGGTAATCATTCATTCCTCTCTTAATTAAATCTGCCTTATCACCTTTATAAACATATAAAATTGGAATAAATTACTACAAGCTCCTCCTTTAAAGATTAGCTGAAATTTAGGAATTTTATGCAAGCGCACGTTATTGTTATATATCATAGACACTTACGCTGTAAGTTACAAGATGGTTTTTTATGTACGTATCCAATTTTTTTTTAAAAAAAGGGGGGAAATTTGAAAGATAAGGAGTATAATTTTTGCCTGCATTTTATATTTATTAGACAAATTTATTTGACTTATTTTTAAGAGTATAGTGTAATTAAATTTAATCCCTTTATCGTCCATCCATCGAAGAGTAATTAATTTTAATATTAATTTTAATATTTGCTAATTAATAATAAATTTCAATAATTTAATATTTTTAGTTTTAATGTTTGCAAATTTTAATATTTTGCAGTTTTATTTTAAAATAAGTAAACATGAAATGTTTTGGAAATATTTCCTAATACTGTGATTTTCAAAAACCTGTATATGGGAATATATGGTGAATATGGTAATGTATAACAAAATGAAGAAAAATATTAACAAATTACAATAATTAGTATTGTGGTGGACGGGAGGAATTATCAACCTCACACCACAATGGAGAGGGAGATCCATTTTAAGCTAAATATTAGAGAAAAAATTCATATGCTTATTGTTTGAAGATGTTTTATTTTACTACACTATTATTTTTATATTACTCTGTTCAACGCAAGTTTTATAGCAGTTGCTTTTTTTTCTCATTTGGTCTGTAACCTTTTTCTTCGAGGCAATCTATGCTTCATGCTTGTTAAGTGATTTAAGCACGCTGCTGTTTCATTATTTTTCTCAGACTTTAAATTTTTACTAAAACACTTTATAAACTTCATAGAGTTAAAAAGTGATATTCCTAAATTGGTTAAGAATAAATTATTTGTTAAATTCTATGTATGCTTTATGTTACAGTTTCGATATAACTTTTTTTATTTACTGTTTTATATTAGATTTAGTTAGATTTAACTATGTCAGCGTGAAATTTTACCTCTGATCAGCGTATCTCAACAAATATAATAAAACAGAAGATAAATGCTTTTCTATGACTTATATTGGTTTAAGATAAGGAGATTTTTTATGATAAGAAGCGATATGACTGCAATTATCAGAAATTAAATACTTAAATGATGTATCGAAATTAGCTTAAAAAAACTTTCTTACTTAAGGAAGCATCAATGATGTAAGGAACTTGTGCATTTGGCCACCTATATCTATCACCAGCGATCGCATTTCTCTCAACGTCCTAAAAGGATTAAATGTAGTCAAAAATAACATCACAACTGAATTTCATATGAGTCGAGTCACTAACAGTTTTGTAGTTTAGTCTTTGAGAAAAAATCTACTAATTTCAATTTGTAAAACACTAATATTTATTTTATTAATTATTGATGTCCTTAAAGATATTTTGTGTTATTGCCATCAATAAACATAAAATTATTATAATCTTGAGCAAATCGCAAGAATTTGAATATTATATGAACAAGATTGGAAATGATTATCCATAAAAAGGCAAAAGTATTTTTTAAAGTCACGCGATTTTAATTAAGAAAATATATGTTAAAACTTAGACAGAATTTTTCGAAACCGCTTTAATGATACAAAAAAAACATAAAAGATAAATAAAAGGTTTGAGCATAATCATGAAAGTTGATCAGTTCAAGAAAAACCAAAACCGTACAAATTTAAAAAAAACGTTGTGCGTTTTATTATTTTTACTATACGCTGTAAAAAATTCCAGATCAAATTATCATCCATAAAATCCATTCTTTCCGTAAAATATAATACTCAAAAATTTACAATGATATTTATTAAATTAAAGTTATTTGGTCATTTTACTGTAATTATTGCTGAAAAAATTACAAAATATCAAATGTTTTGTTCCGTGACAATTTCGGTAAATATGAATTTTACCTTAAAAAATACCGGTACCCTGAGTGCCCTACTTTTACATTAATTTAAACAAAAATGTTTTGCAATGTACCTTCTTATAAAATTTATATTACCCACAGATGTGACGTCTAAGTTGTATTATTTTCTAAATTGCTTTAAACTTATTTGCTTTTTTCCTGATTTTAGCAATTTAAATAAAAATGTATACATTAAACGCTTGACTACCTGTAAGGAAATGGAATAAGTGTTTTCCTTTCTATGTATTTACTGTTTAATTTTCTTTTTTAGTTAGTAAAGCAAATCGTTCATATCTATTATGTTTCATTAATTAATAAACTACTGTTAAAATGTATTTTAGCTAGTACAACTAAATTAAGTAATCTGTTTCGAATATTTAAAATTCATCATGAAACTTTTTTGTGTTTTTCGATCTTTTTGTGGTAGACAAAATGATGGATCTGAAATTTTGATATTCTCAATATACCGTCAAAAATAAAAAAATAAAAGTAAGAAGGGTGAAAAAGAGCAACTTCAATATAGATATATTATTATCCTAATTTTATGAAACAGTAAAAAATATACAGTTTTAATTCAGCATTCTTTTGCTTTAAGAATTTTATTTGGTTTGTGTAATCTTGATCTGGTTTGTTAATTTTATTTCAAATCAAACTTTTTTTACAAGTCAAATATCACATTTAATTTACTAAACATAATTTTCATACTTTTTGTAATTTATTTCTTATTAATTTAGTTTGAAGTAAGAGAAAAGTATTATATTCTGCATTTTAATAAGTAATGGTTAGGAATTACAGCACGAGACAATTATATGTTTCTGCGGTAAATTTTCCAAACTAGCTCATTTTCAAACAATAATTTTTCAAATTTGAAGTTATTTAGATCTGACAGGAACACTTATTCAACATTGAAATTTTTGTGACTTTCGGAATCAATTATAGATAAACTTTTGAATATGAATGGAAAAAAAATCAAAACTTATTTATATTTTATATTTTAGCTCAATTACTATTTAGATAATCTACCAGATTTCCTTAAACTGCATTAGACTGTTTGTTTTTTTTATAATTAAGAAGTACTAAAATATGTTTTGGTAAAAGTACCAATCAGAAAAAGATATATAAAAGCACGCCGGGCTCCTATCAGCCTCAAATGGTTAACTACTTAACTGCAATATGTCATTTTATTGATTTCATCTATTTTGCTTAAGAATAAAAAGGCTCCTACCATGAATAAATGACACTAACTCTTTGATTTTCAATTGCATTTGACGAACATATAACCTTTATTATCTCTTTTACCTAAGTATAAAGGACACCTACCAAGAATAAATGACAAAAACAAATTGATTTCCTATTGTATTTTACTTATTTTATCTCTTTTGTCAAAGACTAAAAGACAACTGCAAAGAATAAATGACAAAACGCGTAGCATTTTATGCATTTCTCGAAGGATAAGTATAATTTTCACTGCAAGAAAAATACCCAGAAAGCAATACTTACAAAGGCTCCGTCAATACCAGCCATGTCACCATCGTATAGGTCAGGATTCTGAAGTGCAAATCTAGCTTCTAAAAGTTAAAAATTCAAACTTAAGGCGCATTGTTCATAAAAATATAATAATTAAGTTAAGGGATACTACTAGCATGAGAGAGAGATTTTATAAGCTGAAAACAAAATGAATATTTCTACTGATGAGTTTGAATAGAGCAACAGAATGAATGACAATACTGGATTCTGAAGTGCAAATCTAGCTTCTAAAAGTTAAAAATTCAAATTTAAGGAATATTGTTCATAATAATATAATAATTAAGTTAAGGGATACTACTAGCATGAAGGATATATTTTATAAGATGAAAACAAAATGAATAGTTCCCCTGATGAGTTAGAATAGAGCAACAGAATGAATGACAGAACTGCATTTTGAATTGCAATTATTAAAAATAATTTTCGAATAAAACTTTTTTTATATGCTACTATAATTGATTCAATAATATAAGAAAAGTTTTATTAAACACTTGATTTGATTTTAGTTTATAAATTATGTAGCATTTCAAGTTAACATTTACAGATAATTTAACCAGATTCCTTCTTTAAGCAAGATTTTAATGTTGCCTTCATATGAGTTTTATATTGCATTTTAGTTCAATTTTGGTTTACGAATCATTTTGCCTTTCAAACATTGAATTTGAATTTCTCCTGTTTTTTTTATTTTTAATATAGATCTTTGGAGCGCAACTCGCATTTTTGTTTCATTTAAAAGTACTTCTTGCTTATGTTTTGCTAAAAAGTACTTTTGTCTGTACTACGATCCAACATGAATGCATGCGCTGAGAGCCTTCAGAAAAAGTCCTGTATTGCTTCTTTTATTTCTCTTCTATATTTTGATCTAAGATTAAATCTCTACTTTTAATAAACTAATTGATCCTAACTAGTTTTATATAAAGCTACAACATCGCCTTATTGTATTTATAAATGATGCGCATCGTAAACAAACTTTCATGGCATTATCTATTCCTAAATGAGGGGATTTAAATGTTTTTATTCAGTTAAAGCATTCGAATTTTCTTTTTTTTATTAATAAAGAATAAATAAAAAAGAAATAATACCTTCCTCCTGATCCGGGCTTAGCTGAATATCTTCAGCTAAAGTAACGGTAAAAAGGCCGATGAAGAACAGAGCAACATTCATGATTGTAAAGTAAAGATGGGAATAAGAGGATAATATTTTATTGGTGTGCGAAAGGCTTATAAATACCTTATTTTTGATATGATTATTTAATCTTTGATGAGAAAATGCCTTCTGTTAACAGTTTTTATACAAAATATCAAAGTGAAACGTATATAATTTCTTGTTTATCAACTAAAATTATTCGCGAACATGATATGTAAATAAACGTCAATTGGTTTAATCAGAGCAGGATATGAAACTTTAAATATCAAGAGTAAAATTTCGTTTATAACGTGTTCGAATAAATAATTATACATAAATTTATTTCCTATACTTTTGAATTTTATTTCTTTGAAAATTATTTAAAAATATTTAACCCCTTAAAAATTAAAACTTATAAAAAAATAATTGTCCCAAACATGCCAGTATTCAGAAAAAAAACAATCAATAAATATTTTTAACATGTGAAATTTTTGAATTTGTTGAAAAAAACGTTTATTATTTACATGATATTTTAAACTAATCACAAAATCTGCACAATATATGATTTAAACATTAAAAATTACGTAAATGAATCGGATATAAGAGAATAAGGTCAGCTATTTCCTAATAAAGAGTTTTCTTTATCACTTGAACATGTTATATACACTTATTACTAGTTTAAAAAGTAGTCAAATTCATGCTTTTTTATGTATTTTCTTTCTAAGTTGTTAAAATTGTTTGAATTTTTATTAAGAGACGATTTAATGTGTTTCAAACATTGTAAACCATTGTAATGTTACTTCTAAATGTAATTACAAGTAATTACGATAATAATTAAGAAGGTTTTGAAAATTTTGAAATTTTATTACATTTGGAATGGATTTATTTTATCCAGTCTTTCATTTTAAGACTTTTTTGAAGCATTTCTCTTAATTATTCTTCCTCCTTTTTTCTTGATGATAATGAGTTCTGCTCATGGCATCGGTAATTTATCAATTCAGTAACAGGAATTCATGGTTGAACATAGTCATAATCAAGACTGTAGTATTTTCAAACTTAGAAAACAAATGAATGTATCAAGCATGTTCAAATCGAAGTTTAAAGAATTTGAATGATTTTAAGTTTTCAAAGGCTAGGTATCTTCGTTCTCAACTCGTTAACAAGAACACAAAGCTTTTTTCAAGTGTTAATCCCCTCTTGACTACTTCAACGGAAGCACACGGACTTTATGGACTGAATCATAGTACCAAATGAATAGAGAATCGGTGTTTACCTGCTAACTTCCATGAGTGGCTGAATCAATCAATAAGCTGAAGAATTGTCTGGTAGAAAAAAATAAGGGAAAAGCACGAGAAGGGAAAATCTTTCACTTTCATAAACATTCCTCTATATTCTGTATGTTTACGCTGACTCGCTACCTTCCATGACTGGCTGACCAAACACTTAAATTTAACAATATTGAAATGGTGTCAGCTGAGCTGAAGAACTATCTTTAATTATTTCATTTTATTTTATAACAGCCGTTGAACAGCAGACCCAATTTTTTGAGTTTACGAATACTAATGTTCAACTCCGTAGTCTTGTAATTTTGAACTCAATCCAGAGGGACAATGGAACTCTTGGATCAAATAATGGTAGAAATTTGCCATCGTGGAGGACTTTGTTATTGAACTAACCAGAATTTGCTTTACATGGAGAGTTAAACCACGAAAATCTCCCATGGTCAGCCTGATAGCAACTGGACTTTAACCCACTGTCGGTCTACCACTAATGATATTTTAAGTCAGCACTGTGGTCGGTGCATCTGGATGCGGAATTCGTATCGATCAGCCATTACAAGGGATTCGAACCCTTTTCACCCGGTCTATCCCCTGAGCCACCACGGGTCTAACTGTCTTGTCTTATAGAAAAGAATGATGATCAAAAGTTTCCAAAAAGGGAAAATCCTCCTTTTTCAAAAAAATATCTTCTTTACTCTATACCTCGAAGTTGCCAAAATGGTGACCACCATCCATGGCAAGTGACTTGATATTTGAAAAATATTATGTAATTGGTTTCATTCTTTTTAATCTTGGTAACTTTCTATTCTTCTAGAGCAGTGATGGGGAAACTACGGCCCGCGGGCCAAGTCCCGCTACTACGGCCCGCGGGAAAGGTTTAATCCGGCCCGTTTAAGAGTGCCGTCGTGAGAATGTTTGAACGCGTTCTTACTTCGTAATGTGACGACCCGCATAAAAACTACCTGCGGCGATATTCAAAACACAATAGTATTCTGGACTTGAGTTAATAGAACTTGAATTAATACTTGACAACTTGAGTTAATAGAACTGAACTGTAATACTCTCCTGAAACAAACTTACTATTACTTACCATTACTAGAATTTTATAAAAATTTAAGTCCAGATAATTTCCCAAATCTAATTACTCATGCAATGAAGATAATGACAATGTTCGGCTCATCTAATATATGCGAACAAATCTTTTCTACAATGAAGCTTAGGAAAACTTCTTTAAGAAACAGAATTACAGATGAGCACCTTTCATCACTTTTAAGAATTTCTGCTTCGCAAATGGAACCGGACTATGATGAAATTTTGAAGAAACAGTCTCAATTTCATTTTTCTCATGCACCATCAACCAGTAATGACACCAGAAAATAAAGTGATAATTCTTCACATCAAGAACTACACTAAATTAACTTTATATTTTGTGCTTATAATTTTCTTACCTTTTGCTTTTTTACTATTAAAATAATAAGTGTATGTAATAATATATGTATATGTTTATAGAACACATAAATTTTTTAACGATTAAGCATTATTCTTTGGCCCGCTACGATTGTCTAGTTATTACAAATGGCCCGTCTTAAAAAATGTTTCCCCACCACTGTTCTAGAGGATAATTTTTGTTTGTTTTGACCAATTAATATACTTCTAATTCTACATTTAAATACTGAAATATACGCATCATGAGATAATTCGAGCAAAAAATATTCACTTTTAGGTAAGTTAAAGACAAAAGCAGGAACATTAAAACATTTTTGACCGGTACTGAGAGAGCATTGTAGTTATATCATCATCAAACTTATAAATTTTGTTCCGACTTTACTCTAAAAAACACTTAAGAAAGCGTTCGACTCAAGCTCATTTTCCTGTAAACCATTTTGAGATATCAGTCATAAACCAGAAAAGGGAATAGACTTATATTTTTGAAAAAAGTTTTTCTGCTCAAAAGAAGCCTCTCTAAACGACAATGCATTAATTCAACTCTTTTTAAAAGTGTAAAAAAATTATTGTTACAAGAGGAAACTTTCAAGGATACTTTCTATACAAGAGGATAGACTTTTTTCATTTAACTTTTGACTCGCGAATGACGAGCTAACTCGTCGTCGTTCATCGATATGCCCTAGTGACGAGATAACTCGTCCTCTACACAAGGCTTTTCTACATTATTGCAGTGTGTCCTTCTACTTATTTATCAACATTTTAATGCATTCTAACCCACAGTGTTTTGCCTTTACATTTCTACCTCAGGGTGACAGCAGCAAACATTTAGACCCATTTACCATATATCAAATAATAAAATTCTAAAATACTTTCTTAATGATATCAATAGTTTTTTTTTAAAGATATCAAATAGATTATCTTTACCTTTACATATGTAAGCATAATGGAAATGAGTAGTTTATTATTACTTTAAAAACTTTGTTTTCAAAAATAAGGAAAATTTAAATAACATTTACAATTTAACATTTTTTTTTCAAAAATTGTTCAATCAATTAAGCAACTACAAAAAAAATTGTAATTACCCCCATAGACAATGCTAACAATAATTTTGCAAGCTTCTGTAAAAAATTCTATGTTGAACTTTTAAACATGGAGTTAAAAAAAATAGTGAAAATCTTAAGGTTAGTAACTTTAATAATATCATGATTAAAAAAATTTTAGCCTTAGATAAGAGGTTAAAAATAAAAATTGGCAATATGCAATTGCCTTACTTAATTATCAGTCCTAAATTTACTTTCAATTCCTATAAAATTTAGAACATGAGGGTCTAATACTTATCTAATTAAACCTGAGACCATTTTCTCTAACTACATAATACTATTGTTAACAATATTATTAAAGAAGTTTTTCGATTTTAGAATTTATTAAACAAAATAATATTAATTCCAGTGAGACTTTTGATTTCCAGTATTTTTTCAATAGCATTCCTCTTTCTAAACTAAAATATGTCTTTTTGAATTATTACTTTAATTTTAAAAATATCCTTAATTACAATTTTGATTATTGGGAAATTCTAAATAATTTTTATCTTTTTAATAATTATCTTTATTATGGAAAATATATTTTTTATTCAAATTGATGGAATACCACAAGGATCTAATTTTTCATCTCTCTTAGTTAACTTATTTTTGTACTATTATGAAAAAAAGCATTGTATTCTTAATACAAAATTTGTTTTTAGATTTATTGATGATTCAATTTTCTATAACTTCCAAGATTATACAATTTTATTAAATGATATTTTCCTCGAGGAATTAATCTGGCTTCGTTAATCATGACGACAATATTTATATTAATTTTTTGGATTTGGGTATTATAAAAGAAGAAAATATGTACTTTGTTGATTTATACTAAAAAAGAAATGATTTAATTTTAATATAAATAAACTAAATACTTGGAATTCTAATGATTCTTGCAATATCCATTTAAGTACCATTTTTAATAAAATGAATAGAATTAAAAAAATATGTAGTAATGTTTATTTAACCACAAAGCAAATAGATAAGCTCTTTCAAAATTTTGCAAAAAACAATCGATTCCTAACTACAGTAATTAAATTCTATATAAAATCATTGAGTTAATAGCATGTTATTATAAATAAATTTACTACAAACCTCTTTGATAATTTATTAAATTTTTACCATGTGCAAATCCATTTCGGGCAAATACGTGGCTAAAAATATGGGCAAAACAGGCCATTTATGTTTCTCTCGCTCTCTCTCTCTTCCTTAAACAAATGTTAATTCTCTTTAATCATTAAAATTGTATAATTAAAGACCAACCTTATTAATTATAAACTTCTCTAAATCATTCAGTATAATATTACCTTGCTCACATTCATTTTTGGGCTAATCCTTGGTAACTTACAAATCAAACATGCTTCAGTCATACTGCAGTAAGAAAGCTAGTCTATTTACGCTTTTACTTCAATTTGCGCGTCTGTTTTCATATTTTGTAAGCTGGCTACCTTATAACGAAAATATTTTAAATCATTCTTGAAATTTTTCCCCTACATGAAAGCTCATTTGAATTCACTACTCACTTTACAGATTTTGTTTTATGTTTTGTTCTGCTTTTTCTTCGCATTTTACTTTCCATTTTATTTTCTGTGTTTTACATGACATTTATTACTCAATGTATTCTATTTTGCTTCGAAAATTTTTTGAGTGCTCCTCACACTATTGTATTGATGTATTTTGTTTTGGCTATATTGATGCAATATTAGAAAGCACTCTTTTTTGTGAATATAATCGTGTGAGCTGATGAAGAGATTATATCTTTTTTTAAAAGAAAAGCATTTATTTTATTTCTTATTTTAATATTTTTTTTTCTTTTTTCATTAATTTGAATTTTTTTTTATATTTTTCTTCTTTCCAATTAATATAAGGAGAAACAAAAATGGGAAAACCAACAGTCGTTATCAAGACACATCTATTGGTATAAATTAATGCGATATTTTGGAATAAAGAATAATTATCCTAAGATAAAAATTATTCTTCATATGTGTCGATATATCAAAAAATTTGTGTTGAAAAAGAGCATGAAATAAAAGAAAATAATAATCAAACTAACCGGCGTGTAGAAAAATGCGGTTTACGTTATNTATATATATATATATATATATATATATATATGCGAACTTCTTATACATATGCTTATTCATACATAAAAATAAATATTTAAAATTTGCAACTTTTAGTGAATGTTTAAGTTAATATTTGCTTGAATTTACTGAGCTTTTAGCTAGTGCTTCGTATATTTCTTTTTAAATAAAGATAATGAAAAATTTGAACAGTTTCCTTAACAGCGTACGTTGAAGTAGACACGATGTCTTTAAAACATTTTATGTGAACTAAGTAACGCAGGCGAAGGGAAAAAAAGCAAAATTTTTAAAAGTGCATGAGCTATTGGTACGGAAAGACACCGAACGAATCATTGAAATTGTTGAAGAGTTAAGGAAAATTTAATCTTTTAGAAAGAGTGTATGGTGTTTACTTTTAATTTCATTTGGAGAGAAAAAAAAATTACAGTTATACATTTATTCTATGTTTATTGAGAACCTAATAAAAAGTCACGATAAAGGTGGAAGGGTACAGTTATACATTTTATTCACTCTCTCAGTATCAGCTATGGACATTCCAAATTTATTGTAAGGACCAAGCAGTTTCTTGCCGTTTCTAGCCACCATGGTGTCTTTACCATTTGTAGTGAAGATTTTGTTGCCGTAAATCATAATGGAGTCGTAATCAAAACTGTTGTACAAGATGTTCTCATGTGGCTTAAGCTTTTTAAAATCATTCAGATTACCTAGATAATGAAAATATAGCGATTTTATATATCAGCTTATTATGAAAAGCAATTATGTCAACATAATCTACATTTTAAACAAATTAATACATTTCTCTCAATTATTGGGAAATCCAAGTACAGCAGTTAAATTTAATAAACCGATTTAATAACTCTTAGAAATATTAAGTGAAAGACAAACACATTTAAGAAGTTTCAAAGTAATCTCCGCTTGACATTTCGGTAAACGTCTCAAAAACAACTTTTGTAGAATTCAAAGTGCTTCCTCAATGCTTGGCATTCTGTACCTCTTTGACGTCCCTAAACCTACTTAAGTAATTTTTTCCCGTTTCGAATGTAAGTGTAATCCTATAGAATCTCTTTAATTCTGATATCAACATTCTGAAAGATTTTTCTAATGATTATGGAGAATGATGCATCCCTACAATCTACGAAAACAGTTTTCTGCTAACGATGCAAGATTTAAAATGTCGAAGTCATTAAGAAAAAGTCTCAACGTCAATCCTAAAGCACTTGTTCAAAATGCTCTTTATTTTTTAAGTTCAGATCATTCTGAAAGATTTTTGCGAGTAATACAGTGGGTGATTCATCGCCTCAATTTACGATATAATTTTGTGCCTACCGTGCAAGATTTACAAAGTTGAAAGTATTAAAAAAAATTCCAACGCCATGCCCAACGTCCATGCTCAGAATTTTTTTTTTAATTCTGACGTTGTCAGAATTCTGAAAGAGGATTTCAAAATTTTTTTTGAAACCTTTACAGCAGAGTATAGAAAAGTATTACTTTGGATAATAATTCTAAAGATATGAATAGGTGTGTAAGTCACACATTATTTTCAGTTATTAGTAGGTATTTTGCAAAAACTAACAGTCACACAATTGCAACTAATTCTTTTCATGATACATTTATTAAAATTGATTTATTTTTAATATCTTGCTGGCTCCTTAAGGAATTTTCTTTTTTCAATGACGCTGATTTGGAAGAAAGAAAGCAAAATAACTTATACTTGACTGGACTAAGGCCATGCGTAAGAACGGCTATCTAGTCAGTCCAAGTCAATAGTTTCCATTTTCCGGAACAGCTTAAAGAGGACTCTAAGATTTGATTTCTTAGTGATCCGATAAATTTTTGGGTCAAAGAATGACTTTGACAAATTTTTTTTTCTAAATATCAGGCCCTTATTTATTAAAATAATATCACTCATTTGCTTCTGATCTAGACGTCTTTATCTAGACATATTTTGAGTGTTCCGCAGCTTTTTCTGGCTCTTAGGTCAGACTTACAGTTATTAACAGTCATTGCAAATTACATCACACTTACAAAGATCTTATAGTAGAATAATTCCAAGCGATTTTCAAAACCAATAATTAATTTACCTTTCCATGTACAAAAATATTTCTTTGAAACATCAATGCTTTTGCACTAAAATGCATGAAATCAACCATAATCTACACAAATAAGCAGATTCATAAAATGAAAAATGGTTTGTTTTTTTTAGAGAAAATAATCGCAAAAACGTCTTCGTGTTTAACTTCGTTTAAGGTTTAGTTTGCGACTAGCGCTACAGTTGTAACAGAATAGCTGGTGTTATCATGCAAAGAAACGTATCAAAAAGGTTAACAATTAAATTTAAGAACTTAAACCAATTATTAGAAAAACTTATTTTTCGAGAATATTATTAACAATTTTTAATTAAAACGCTGGCACTGCCCGTGTGCTCAGCTGGATCCGAGGCATCTCTTCAACTGCGTCTCTGTTGCCTCGACCCTCTTCAACATCGACCTCAACTGCTGCCATGACACCCTTTATTCCGAAAAAGTCGGAGATGTGGCCAGGGCTGTGCTCCATGCCTTCGGTCACATCTGAATTGTACTTTTCTGCATTTCTCAAACGACAACAATTAAAACTCTTAAACGAATTACCAGTGGGTGCTTTGCTCTCGCAATATTTTGAGGCATATAATTTTGAGTTGATCAGCCTTTTTAGAATAATATCAGTTACATTTATACTTACTTTTCATAATATTTTCGAAATAAATGATCAGGTAGTCATCTCTATCTGATCTGCTCTGTTCATGATAGAATCCAATAGCATGTCCCAATTCATGAACGATAGTGCCTACATGGTGGCAACCTGACCCAAGTGAAAGCGGTTGTCCTATTCCTGGCTTGATTTTGCCTTTGCCCACAAATGAATAGCACCTGAGTTAAAATTTCAGTTGTATGATAAGTTTCAGTGATATATATTTATGTANTATATATATATTTACAAATTAATATTAATTTGATTTCCTGATGAAAATTGGAGATGTAATATAGTAGTCTCAGTAATCATGTTTTCACTTTTCCTTGTATTTTTCGGAAATAAGGTTTCAGTCTTGCCTCCTTAATTAGTGATTCTTTTGATTTTGATACATTTTGTGTTTTCAATCACTTGGATAAATTGTGACTCTGAATATGAATATTTGAGTGATTTCAGTTTTGACAAAAGTTTTAAAAATATGTTAAATATGTTAATACTGAATTACTTAATTACTTTTAATTTTCTGATGATTTTTATTGATTTTCTTTTCGTAATTTGTTTATTCTTTTGAATGTATCTTGTTTTTCCAGGTACTCTATACAAAACCATCGGGGTACTGAGGGAGATATTTTAAGCTATTGCTTCTCCCTCAAATAGAAATGGTTTTGTTTTTAATGGCTACCGGGGCCGGTACCCCCTGAAGACGTCGGCTTCGGTGGTCATAATTTTGTTTTGCTTCATTTGTTTCTTGTATTAAATATGTTAAGTAACTTAATGTGTAAAGGATATCCATTGCGAAATATGTTTTATGTGTGGCAATTTGAGCCACGAATATGGTTTATTACCTAGAAAAGTAAATTCACCAGAAAATTCTGTCAGAATGGAAAGGAACATGCCGCTACAAATGAACATAGCGAGAAATACGAATATTCGTAATCGCGTGGAATCGGTAAAATTGGATTTGAATACGACAAATAGTGACAATTAATATTTAACTAACTAGAAATTTAATAGTTTTAAGTTCTGGCGTAGTTTTTTTAAGCATAATTATGCAATCAATGTACAGAAGAAAATCTGGAAAATCACTATGCTTAAAAACAGTGCACCCAACCTGATAGAGAATAATTTCTTCATTATTTTGGTGGCCCGTACGTGATTGTAAGGTAAGATCGGTCACTATAAAAACATATTCAGTGTTCATAAAACTCCCAGTGTAGCTATTATATAATTTAAATTTGCATGAAATGAGTACGTGAGAAATTCTAAATTGTTTATTGAAAAAGTGATTCCTTTAGTTCTAATTTATTTTATCATATTTGTGATAATTGTGGAACTTGATAAACAATTGAATTAAATTTGTGTATTGTTTCTGCAGTAATATCCATAAAAAAAACTTTAGTTTTAATTGTGATATATAGTTCTTTTTTAAAGGATTTGCTCATTGTTGTATATTCTTAATTAAATTTGTACCTTAAGCCTTATGGCTCTTTAATTTTATATGAGGTCAAAATGAAACAAAAAATTTCTAGACTAAATATAAATTCATTAAAGTTTTATATGAGCTTCGAGACTTTCCGAGCACTATCCTCACAAAACGATTTGTGTAAAATAATTATTAAATTTTTCATTCAAAATATTTTATCGAGGAATATACTGTTAGTTTCGATTTAATAATATACAGTATGCTTCCTTTTTCTCAAAATTTTTCCCATAATTAGCTAAAATTAAAAAAAGAGAATAAGAAAAATGCTTCTGTGCCTACGTCCTCCATAAATGTGGTATTATATCTTCTCTAAAAAGTAAATAAATAACCAAATGTTTATTTTTTATTGCATAATTTTCTACTTACCCACTTCCTTTAAATATCTTTAAATAATTATCTTCGTTTGTTCTGGGAACAAATCGGATGCAAGTGTAAAATTCGTAGTGATCCATGCCCTTTCGAATTATTTCCTTTTTATCACCTATAGATGAAAAAAAGCAATTAAAATCATTTTTATGAGAACTGATATGTTTTTGTATGACAAGATAATCGTAATGTAAGCAGCTAAATGTTTCAAGGGCGAGCATAAGTAGGACTTGTTGCAACGTGCGTAAATATTGTTTTGGAATTATTATGTTTTTATGTCTAGTTTGGATTCGAATACGATTAAATAAAAACGTATTTAAAGTATACGTTAAAGATCTCTTACAATTCAGAAGTGGGATAAAAAGAACGGTAAATTGTTGTTTATGTTTCTTTTCTTTCTTAATTTACGATGTCTCATTTATCTAAAGTACGTAAGTCAGAGTTACAGGTTATTGCAATGGAACTTGGCGAAGAATTACACAATGCTTTTAAGATTGCAGATCAAAAAAACTTGGTTTTAAATAGCAAAAACTATGATGAGGACTTGGTACAAGGAATGATATTCGGGAAAAATATACTTGAGGGTGCCCCTTGACGAAATTGGCAACTTATGTTTGGCGCCATACTTGTTTGCCCGGAACACCGTGGTAACCCACAAACAGGACATTTATATCTATTACTAATTAAACCTTTATTCATACACCAGTCAATCACTGTTTTTTTCTTCATTGATATTAAAATCGTACAGAAACTTAAGATTTATCTTATTGACAGTATTCATTTTTAGTACCAGAAGCAAAAATAACCTTACCAGCCGGTATCCAAAGTAGAACTAACGGATCTCTGAAATTACATTTAAAAATTCATTTAAAAACAACGCTAAATTCTAAACTAATCAGAATCACGATTAAAATCTAAACCAATCAGAATCA